TATTATTACCAGATGATCACCAAATCAACAAAATCTAAACATGTCAGCAAAATCAGGCAGGCAAAACGCTCTAATTCTGAAATGTTCCTTGTGGGAAATGTAGCCTGAAGTTGACAGAATGAAACAGGGTCACATAGAGCTGTAAAGAAGGTAGTAGTTAGCAAAAAATTGACAAATTAATAACAATTAAATAACGTGGGGCGGGCTGTACGCTATGAACGCATCAAAACCTCAGTGTAGCTGTAACGTCAGTGGATTCCCAGCGTATTTGTCTTCTGTCTCACCGCTTCAGCTGCAAAAGCTTGACCAACAGTTAACTGTTAACAACTAACTGGTTTTGAGGATCTTGTGGAGGAGCATGTGTGGGCACATATCACATTTGAGAAGCTAAAACTAGCAAATATTTAGCATTTTTGCTTGATACTCCTATATACTCATACAGTATATAGTATAATCAATGTTGGGCAAGTTACTCAGAAATTGTAATAAGTTACTAGTTACTTATTACTCCTTAAAAATAATAATAATAACTTATGGTTGAGCATTTCAACTTGTGGCTGAAAATTTTTGATATACGGGACTCCCTTGTAAAAGAGACATGCCTCAATGGGACTTTCCTGTTAAAATAAAGGTTAAATAAAAAATATTACTTTACTTATTTACGTAACTAGTTACGTTACTCTTTAGGTTACTATATTACTTTATATATTACTAAAACAAAGCAGTCTCTTATTACAGCAGCATGTTTTACTCGTTTCTTAAGGCCACCAGCTGAAATAAAAAACTAAAGCAAGTAAATCCCAACTTTTGAACTACTGTTTTTCTGCACATGCTTTTAAGTGCAGTATTCAGTGTTTTTACAAAACAAAAATATTGCTTACACCACTCTCTCCCAACTAGTGCATGCATCACTTGGAGTAGCGGCCAGAGTTTCTTTCTCTGAGTTTCACGTTCCTGTGCTGCTTAAGCAGATACTTCAATAAATTAGATGTATAATTGTTCACGGTTAAAAGCTTTTTGCTAGTCGCCCAAAGTTTACAATGTTCTTTGCAGCTTTGACTGTGACACAATTATCGCAATACTTACAGCTGTGGAAAGAGCACCTATCTCCCTCATTTTCCATTCTTCCTTTAGCTTTTTGGCTAACAGCTGACTTGAACAACATATGGTCCGGTGCCGCTGACCTGCATTACTTGCATTACTTGGATTAGTAACTGTAATATTATTACTGTTTTGGAAATATAATCCCTTACACTACTAGTTACTGGGGAAAGTAATAATATTCCGGTAAGACGTTACTGCTCAACACTGATTAGAATCTATGTTCTGATGAGTCCACTGGGTTGCTATCTGCAGACATAAAAGGAAAACTAATGTTTATCATAAGCACAAGTGCTTTTGACCCTTATGAGAGATGTAATTGCTCATTATGGTAATGACCGTGTTGCCACATTCTAAACGCCATTACACCCTTAAAAGCTCTCTAATTCTATCTATGGTCAACAACACCCTACCCTTTGTATAATCATATCCAGAGGCCATTATACCCTGTTGTAGTAGGCACAGCCCAGCAGAGGAACAAATGACCAACATAACTACTATTTATAGTCAAGCTAACTGTGGTTTAACCATGGGTTACACAAGTAGGTGGTTTGTTTGGATTGGAGACAGTGTTACCATGGCAACATTTTTGTAGAGGAACACACACTGGGTATCCTTGGTTCTGCATAACATTTTGCAGCAGCAGGTCATATTATTTGAGAGAAAAGTGGACCGTTATGTTTACAAAATAATAGCATTGTGTGTTAACACTAACATTAGTCAAACCAATATAAATTAGAAACTTCTTCTTTAGGGTATCATGCATGACAAAAGTATTTTCTTTGATGATCAAAATCTTATCTGTCTGTAGCATCTCATAATATGAGATATATATATATACTCATTGACGCAAACAAGTCATGGGACAAAACTTCGTCTGAATGTCTCAAATCTTCCTGCACTTGTGGTCAGCGTGTCTCTCCTCCCCAGAGCTTTTCCGGATGTGTGTCGATAGATTGAGACCAAAAGAGGATGGAGAAGAGGAGGAGGAAAGGGAAAGAAAGACAACAGGGTAATTCATTCAGCCGTCTGTGAAAGAGAGGAAGACTCAGTTTCCTCAGAGCATTATAAATACAAGCATAGTCAGTCATCAAATTATAGCCATCTGCATTGGCCTGAGACCAGGATTCTGGTTGATGCACAATAAAGTAGTGTGAAGAGTGGTGTGGTAGCTAAAGTGGATTGGAGACTGTCCTCTTAGGTGGTTAAACCTCCACACACAGTGTGGCAGCAGCTTCACAGCTCCAGCTTACACTCTAAAGGAGCAGGGATGCTGCTTTACAGATAATGATGCCTTGTCAGCGAAATCACCTCAGCTAGATCCCATCTATACCCAGCCCAAAGTCCCTGGAGAGTGGAGAATATAGCTGAGTGTTATATTGCAGTAGAAAACATGAAATGTGCAGACTGGTGATGCACATTGCTATTCTATCATAATTATGTTTTCTTTCATCCTGTAGGTATGAGTCAATTTTTGCATACTTGTGAAAAAGCGTGAACACAGGAAAGGTTTAAGCAAGGCTCGCAGAGACAAAAGAAGTGTCACAGAGCAGGGCTTTTATACAGATAGCATACTGCAAATGTACTTTTCCTACATGAAGCCTACTCTATACAGAGCTTTACACAGTTTAGCTTGGGAACTAATGAATTCCAGGTCCAGGTACACTGTAGAGAGTAAAGCTATTGTGTGTATCATTAGAAAATGTGCTTCTTTTCCTGAAGGCAACAGCAGCAAGATGAATTTGAACCAGAAAATCCCCAGGCAGAATTGTCTTGGCATCGCTCTCTCTTTCAGCTTTTTATCCCCATGCTCAGTGAACAATCCAACAAAAGCTCGGGTTTAAGAACCATGGAGCTCATTGCGATTTTCTTTGTTAATGCAATTGCCTGTAAGAAAAGATTCTGTTCCCCCATTTTTCAGTTTCAGCCTGAAGGCTCCTGTGCAATTAGCCCCAGTCTTTCATTTGGAATACCTTAGCCTTAACAGAAACTCTCTGAACTGTTCCATAATAGCCTCCGGCACAGTCAGTAACAGCTAACGACAATAGCCTCTGAAAAGTGACATTCTGAAAATGAATGATGTGTAACTGTAATAATTTCATTCAACTTGCATGTTCAGCTCTATTCTAGTTTTGAATTGCCAAGTAGGATCTCACTGCTTTAGTTTTGCCAGTTTTCTAAAAAAAAATAAAATTGAATTCACATTATATGGAAAGTTCAACATGTGATAATAACACTTTCCTGTGATATTTATTTCTGAGAGCCATCAACATGGCGTTTCTATGGCTGCAGGAGGCTGGTGCTGTGCAGTAGTGTATAATTGAAAGTCTTTGTGTATTTGCACTGAGACCGTTCATCACTGACTTTGTTCATGACAGAGCAGCCTTGGAACCAAAAGCAAATGCCTCTTAGTGAAATCACAAAAGCATGGGCACAACGATAAAAGCTGCGCTTTCGTCCTTCCTGACATCAAAATGATTGTGTTTGTTCACATTTCCAATGTTTGTTGCAGATCTGGGAGGAGGGGTTCATTTACAGGATGAGAAACAAAATGAAAAATTAACCCTTTAGTGTTTTGAAGTTGGCAGCATGGCATAAATGCAGATGCAACACAGACACAAGCTGCCCTTTAGAGAAACACAAACACACGCACACACACACACACACACACACTTGTTCTCACATGGACACCTTCAAACTTGAGAGACTTGAGAAAATTCTTTCACCATTTATAGCTATGAATGTGAATGTTTAGTTTTTTCCTCTTCTATTTTCTGTGTCTGAGAAGCTATTCTGTGAGATGTTTGTCTCATGGCTTCAAGCCCACCGTCCTGCAAAGCTATGGGATGCTACTTGTGATTTTGAGGGAATATTTTGGTCCTCATGATCTCATAGGAATGTTCTAACTTTGACACAGCAATGTCTCTCTTTGCTTTAATATTCCAAATATTCCAAAGCATTAGCATTGCGTGTTCAGAAGACTGCCTTCTTTGCTGTATTCCAATGAGTTTCTGTCTTGAACTATCAACCATGTGAGGGTGAGTGGGTGGCAAATGGAAAGCCCCTTTTCTATATCTCTTGGCTAAGGCCACGGAAAACCCATGCTGAGGAAACGGGGTCTTGGAGGTGGTCCAGTTTAATTTCAGAGCATGTGCACTGGGAAATAATTGACTTCCTCCATGGTTTACATTTTGTCAAGGGCCCCGGAGAGCACAGTCCGAGGCAGGTGGCCGAATTTGCATATCATTGGAAATGAGACAGCTCAAGCCTGGGAAATCCTGCACCCCAAGTCTCTATATGCCCGGAAAACCTCCGCAGGGGTAATGACTGATGTCTCAGTGAGAGAATCCCTTTGAGGCCAGAGGAGCTCCTCTTCAGCCAGGAGCAGATGGAGGACACCTGATAATATAGAAATCAGTCCAGAGCAAGTTGCACTGTAACGTTAGACTCCGAAAAATGCTCATCTAATTAGTGTCTCCAAACTCCCACATTAGAATTCACAAAGTTGCCATCCAGCAGTTGTAGGATATGACAGCAGTTATATAGCATCGTATGCAGATTTTTGTATGTTGTCTTTGTATAACATTGCTCATAATACTGTATATAATGAGCCATGTAATGTTGCCACACCATAGAAAATGCAAATTGTGTCAGGTAAATCAGGTGATTTCATTTTCCACTAAAAATGTTGGTGTTTTTCTTGTCTAAATGGCAACAAAACTATGGCATTTTTGTCTTTATTCAAAAGTAGACAGTTAAAGAAAAAATGTGTTTGTGTTGGGTGACAGACAGTAAAAATCACTGATTGTTGCAGTTATGTAGTATGCCTTAGACTTCTAGGCTAACATGACACATACATGTTAACTTTAAATGCTATGTTCTATTTTCACCCTTCACAGAATCCTACTTTGGGGACAGCTTCTGCAGTTTACAAGCCGTTCAAGATGTCTCCACCTTCCACCTGTCACTACAGATCAAGACTAGTCGGCGAAGTGGGCTGCTGTTACTGGCTGCAGGAACAGAGGACTACTTGTTCCTTGAGCTCCAAAATGGGAAAGTACAGGTGAATATTTAACAATGTGCGGAACCAAGGTTGAAATGTTTTCACACACCTTCAGATGATGTAGATTAGTCAGTCCCAAATCATCATCTGTGAATTTAAGACTGGATGAGCATGCATGTATTATATCAGAAATGAGAAGTTTTAGCACTGCACAGGCACTTATTTTAAGAGAAAGTATGATACCTAAAAGACACAGCAGGACTTTAGACAGACAAGACAATAATGTCTGTCTTTTGTGCCTAAACAACTTCTTCCACTACCAAAAAACAAAAATATTATCATTTTTATTTTCCTTTGCGGGAGAAGCAAGTATGAGAAAAAACACTTTAATTAACTATAGTAATACATACATATATAGATAGATAGATATATATAGATATGTGTATATATATATATATAGATATGTGTGTATATATATATATATAGATATGTGTATATATATATATATATATTTAATTATATTATATAAATAAATATTATTATAATATAAATATTATTATATTATAATTTGCAGTGACAGTACATACCATAAAATGACATCCCACATGAAAGTACTTTTGGGCATTTTAACTTTAAAATATCCCATACATTTTGAATGCATTACAAAGGTGTAAATGGGTTGTGAAGAGTGTGACTTTAAATGTAGTCTTGAGAGCCATTCAGTTTGTATATGACCCATTTCATAGGTGTCTCTCTGAAAACAACCGAATATGATTTGATTTTCCTGTTGTCTTCTCTTCTTCTCTCACTGGAATGAGAACCATGACATTTCACATCTATAATTAATTGCTTGACAGCTTCAAAAAGAAGCAGAATTAGAATCAGGTGTGCTATCACAGAGATTCATATAGCGTTTCCCCAGGAAGGACAATAATGCTGCGTTTTCAATGAGGTGAAATCTCAGGGTACGTGTAATAAAAGGAAATATTACTTTCTTAGTCTTCTTCATTCTCTTCCTCCTGTGATGAGGAGGATATGAGATGCACTATGCAAATAGACTCAAGGCTTTACAGAAATTAAATTGCCTTATCTGTCATGCATGCAAAGAATCATGTGGTTTAACCTATCAGATCTTATTCTTGAAGTATCTTAGAACTAGTTCATTTTCTAAATCTAGCTTAGTCATCACTGTGAGCATACCTGAGGAATTTTCTGGGATACAATGACTAGATCATAAATTTTAATATTGCAATAAAATTAGTCTTTTACTCAAGTGTTTTATGAGTCAGCGAATTAACCCTCCATAAATGTTAAGTGAGAGGATCCAGAAATGGTCATGAGCATGGATAAGAGTACTTGGTTTTGTATTTGTGTGTTGTTTCTTTTTTTATAAATATTGACAGAACTGTTCAAAGTTGTTATGTTCATTCCATTTTAGGGGTATTCCCTTTAAAAATTAGCCCTGAGTCACATCCATGTGTTGCCCATTTATTATGTAATGTTTTGTTTTCCTGTAGGCACGGATGAACTTGGGGGCTGGCGAGGTGACACTGTCCTCATCCCAAGGAGTACAACTGAACAACCTTTTGGAGCATAAAATCTTACTCACACTGCATGATGGCAAACTCACCATGACAATTGATGAGCTCTTTCCGACATATGTTCCCTTGAATGATGATGGGGAACCGCTCAATATTGACTTGGGCATTTGGCTTGGAGGAACAGGAGACCTGGATGCTCCCTACCTCAGCAATGCTATTCCCCCTTTCCGTGGCTGCATGACTCAGGTCAAATTTGAATCCCATCAGTTTGATATTCTCAGCAAAGCATTTAAAGAATGCCATGACACAAAGGAATCCTGCAGCAGTGAGTTTGAGGCTGGTGATGGGGAGGCAACTAGTTTCAGCACACCTGATTCCTTTGTGTCATTCCCCACCTGGAGCGGGGCTAGTGGTGCTCCTAGGGTCTTAGAGGTCCTAATGAAAACCACCATTGAGGATGCGTTACTTGTTTTCCACCCTGGCCGAGAGTCAGACTTTATTGCTATTGGTGTTGTGAAAGGCTATCTCAAAGGTGTGCTGGACTTTGGCAGTGGCATGGAGGTACTGGAGAATAATATGGTAAAGCTGGATGATGATCAGTGGCATAGAGTCAAGGTACAGGTCAGTGAGGATTCCTTTGTCATTTATGTAGATAGTCAGTTTTCCTCCCTCACTTTTAATTCATCAGAAAAATTGGACTTGGTTGGAAACTTATATCTGGGAGGCATCCAGAAGAAAATGAAGGATGTCTTTCGTGAGAGCGGGTCCTTAAATCGCGCAGAAGAGGAGGAATTAATAATCGAATCCTTCATTGGTTGCTTGTCGGAAATCAAAATAAATCAGAAGGATAGAAGCCTCCAGGATGCTTTGGTGACCAAAGACGTTCATGTTAAATGTGAAGGAGAGGACTATGACTACTCAACTTACTATGACACAGACACAACCACAACTTCCCCACCTGTTCGCAATCCATATGGTGATATGGACATCAACGAACAGCACTGCTACCCAACAGATGACACACCAGAGATATTCAAAAATGTAACAAAACTTCTTGATGTCACCCCATTGCTTGTGCCTGAAGGTGGAGAAGTTCTTCTTGATATCAACAACCTTAGCCCTACTTTTGACCTCAGTGCTGCAGGAATGCGTCAGTCTGAGATAATTTTTACTCTCCAGAATGATCCCTGGTATGGCTTGGTTGACATGAACATTAACACAAGACGCACACAAAAGTTCACTCTTCTTGATGTTGTCAATGAGAAAATTAAGTATATGCATGATGGAAATGAAAGGCATGCAGATCAAATAGAGCTACATGTGGTTGTTCACACTGAGGGCTACCTTCCAGAATGTTTAAAATCTCCTCAAAAGTATGTCCTCCCAGTTGAAATTCTTCCCGTCAATGATATACCACAACTTGGTGGAGGAGAAATCACCATCACAGAAAATGGCAGGACTCGTTTGAGTCCCAGCCTTATCAAAATCATGGATTCTGACAACCGCTGTGATGAATTAGTAGTAACTGTAACCTCAGAGCCTTCAACAGAAGTTGGTTACTTAGAAAACAGCCAACAGCCAGGAATAAGCATCTCAGAGTTCACTTGCAGGGAGTTGAAAGATGGAAATATCTATTTTGTACACAGAGCGGGTAATGCTGCTGGAATTACACTGGAGGTATCTGATGGACAGTCAGTAAGTCACTCAGCTACTTTTAAGTTATCTGTGGCACAGCCACATATGACTATTGTCACCAATACTGGCCTTTTCTTGTTCCAAGGAAGCAATGCATCTATAGGTGTTCAAAATCTGGCTGTCCTCGCTCATCCTCGTTATGGAGATATTATTTATAACATTATACAACCTCTGCTGTTTGGAGAACTACAGGTGATGACAAGTGATGGAATGTACAAACAGGTTACAACTTTTCATCAATCCGATCTGGAACAAAACCACCTTAGGTATGTCAGCACAGACTCAAGTGACCAGGAAGATATTTTGGTCGAGCAGATTCAGTTTGATGTCCACCTAGGGCACTTCTCCCTCAGTAACAACACCTTCTTAGTCAAGATCATTCCAGCACTAGTGAAAGTTTCTAATCTGGTTCCACTGGAGATGCAGGCCGGTGAGGAGCAAACAATCAAACTTACAGAACTTAAAGCTGAAATAAAAGGGAAAAACCCAGATCCACAAACTGTAAAATACATTCTCATTAAGCCTCCAACGCTCGGTAGTCTCCAGCTATTAGACAGAGAGTTGGCTGAAGGTGACCTCTTCACACAGAAGGACATTTTGGACAGCATTGTTAGCTACAGGGTGCGTGTGCAAAGAGCTGTGAATAGTATTGATCAGTTTCAGTTCAGAGTCCTTGCTGATGATCAGTACTCCCCTCTATACACCTTCCCTATAAACATCCTTGCAATTGCAGATGCTCCCGTTCTGACCAATGAAAGGCTGGTTGTCTTACAGGGTGGTGAGCTCACTCTGAACAAAAACTATCTTTGGATACAGTCTCCAGGTATTACAGATTTTATGTTCCAGGTCACACAAGAACCAAAGTACGGACGACTAATAAGGGATTCCCCACCCGGGCTGCCTAGATTTGAGGGGGCAATAAGAGTATTCAGCAGTGAAGACCTCCAGCTTGGCAGGCTTATTTACAAGCATGATGGCTCCAAGACAAGCAATGATGAGTTCCATTTTTCAGCATTTAATCAAGGAGCGGAAATTCTAGACAGTCAGGCAACAGTGAGTGGTGTTTTCAGAATTTCTGTCCAATCCAAGAACGAGCATGCTCCTGTGAGGGTTGTGGATAGAGTCTTCAATGTAGTTCGCCACGGTCAGCGTCTGTTAACAACTGATGTCATCCAGTTTAAGGATGATGACTCTGATTTCAATGACACCCAAATCGTCTACGCTCGTGAGGGAATCCTTTCAGGCAATATCATCTCAACATCTAATCCCTCACAGGCCCTTTTCCGTTTCACACAAGCCGACCTACGAGATAAGAACGTCCTCTTCATTCACCATGGAGCAGACCGGGAACGCTTCTCACTGCAGGTTTCAGATGGCTTCCACAAGACCACGGCACTGCTTCAGATCCAGGCAGGTGAGCCGTACCTGCGAATAGTAAACAACACAATCATTGTCATCGACCATGGAAGCACCAAAACACTTAACACCACCCTGTTGAGCGCTGACTCTAACATGGACATCAGAGACGACAGTGAGATCATATTCCAGGTCACATCACCACCCAGCGATGGCAGGATTATTGTGAGTGGGATTGAAGCTTCAGTGTTCACCCAAGAGGACCTGAAAAAAGGTGTTGTGTCATATGAGCACAATTATGAGAGTCTGAGGTCCAAAGACTCCTTTAGCTTCACCGTCCAAGCAAGAGGACATTCTGAAGAGGGCACATTTAGGATTAAAATATTCAAGCAAGGTTACCTCTCAGAGCCTGAGGTGAAAACCAACGAGGTCATCATTTCCTATGAGGGGGAGCACACCATAATCAACGAGGATAATCTCAAGGTAATGTTTACTGAGCAAAACTTTTTATTTTTTATGTGATCTAGAGCTACAGTTCAAACAAATCTACTATTTAAATGATTTGCCCTGTTGACATTTAATCTATAAAGCAGACATTTGTTTTTATTCAATAAGACAGCATAATAACACTACTAATATTTTATGCTGTCTAATAATATTAATACTTCTACAATTTGGCAGTGATTGTGTGATATAACAGTCTTTTTCAAGTTTGTTTTCTCTTTCTGACACAGATGTTTAACATGACTCATTCAAGCGTACTGCACTGTTTTGTAACCCTGTCTATTATCTACATTATAACCACATGAAAGCAGGGCTAAATATGACCATACAGTTGCTGCTTTTAATCTAGTTTATGTACTAAATTACAGTCTATTAAGTGTGGAAAACAGCACTAAGGAACCCCTGAGGAGCTTCCTGAAGCCCACTGTAATTTATTAGATGAGCCTGCCTGCACTTCATCTTGAATGCAATTAATGAGGTTTAAATTTCCGGTCCATTCATAACTCATTCTCTATATAGAGCTTGACTTTTGAAATAATGAGGAATATTTCTGAAAGTAAAATGTTCTTTCTTTTAAAATTTAATTTTACCTTAGCACACACATTTTAAATCTACAGTATTGACTGGAGGAGAACCTAGATACCCAGTACACATGCTACTGAAATATGTATTGAACAAAGCCTTGACAGAATGGCCTTTACAAGAGGTAAAATATTGACTTGGCCTCTGGGAGCTTTTCCAATGTGTGTTCTTACAATGAAATGGAAAGTAGTATGATTTCTGAAATATTGTCAAATGCAAGCATGACTGCTAAACACTTCAAGGCTTCAGGCTCCAGAGAGTTATTAAATGTTTTCAAAGTGGGGTGACTATAAATCTGCATGTGTGTAAATCTGCAGCATGACTTTAAATGTTGCCAGATATCACAAATGTCTTCTTTTAAGTTTGTGTTCACCATACAGTCACAGTGTTGCAGTGCTGTTCTGGTAGGTAGTATACTAAGAGTTAATGTAGTATACATTAAGTCACAAGATTGTTCCTGTATTTAACAGAAATGATCCAGTTCTTTGAAACTTTGAAACACTACTGCAACAAAGTTTTTTTTTGTTTATTTCATTTATTTTACCAACTGTCACTGGAATAGCTGCACAACTGCACAACTGTGCTGTTGTTCCCCAATGCAACTGTATTGCATTGGGGGACAACAGCATTAATCTTCACCACACTTCAAAAGTCAAGCAATTTTAGTATGTATGCTGCATATGAAGGTGTATTTCATTAGTCAGAAAGCTTAGTAATTTCACTACACACACAAAACAGAGATGAAAAGGGTTTCTCCATGCATAATGCAGCATTATGCAGCTTCTTCTGAATTTGTGCATTGGACAATATGCTATTGATGTACGAGTTTTTTGTTGAGCCAACTGTATGCTTCTGCAAGTTTAACATTGGCCCTACACAAAAGAGGGATGATATGATCAAATAATACATTAACAGAGTGTACCTTTGCCTTTTAGGTGGATCAAGCTGATATTTTGCCTACAGAGATGGTGTTCACCATTAAAGAGCCTCCTCGTCTCGGTCATGTGGTCAAGCTGACAAACAGCTCAGACAGCACTGCTTCACCTGTCCCCAACTACATTCATTCCTTCACTCAAGAGGACATTGATCAGGGGCACATTCTCTATGTGTCTGCATCCATCCAGGTTTATTGTCATTTAATTTATTCTGCTGTAGTAAATCAGATGTGGCAGCTTGTTCCCTTCCGTAATCACACTGAGAGTAAAATCAGACAAAAGACAAACTTAGACTCTGATGAGGTACAAGGTTTATTTTTACTATTAGCAACATCTCTTTCTCTCTTTCAGGGAAACGACGCATTCACAGTAGATGTCAGTAATGGTTTTACCACAGTGGAGGACCTGCACATCTCCGTGAAAATTGTGCCACGGCTCATCCCCATCCAGACCTTCAACTTTACAGTGAAGGAAGGCCTCAGCAGAGCAATTAACACAGAGATTGTTAACATCTCACATCCTTTCTACAGATCAGCAAACATTGACTTCGTTGTAGAAGAGCCACCACAGCATGGGGAAATCCGCACCCAGGATGGAGACGAACTTACTTACTTTACATGGGAAGAGGTATGTAGTGATATGATGAAAGAAATAGAAATTATAAATTCAATTACAAGTAACAAAAATATCACCAAGGATGTTTAAACAATCTCTCCACTGCCTTCTCATTGAAATAATACTGCCCTTAACTCTCGTATATCACCACTGGTTTAAACATTTGAATGAACCCTTCCCACATAAGTGTCAAAGATGTTTTAATTGACAATCAAGTGAAGTTTCATTGCTCGCCAGTATGGTAGGTCATTGGTTATTTGCCTTTACCTAATTATCCAGCTCCTGTCCTCTATATGCATTAGTTTTAAATCATTTCTGTGCATGCATGTATCAGTTTCCAATCAATTTGCATATTTGCTTGGAATTTGTGATGTACCAGCATCAACAGAAACACACACATATATATATAGGGGTTCCTGCAGAAATATGATCATCTTAAATCCTTAAGAAAATAAAACTTGAGACTTTTTATTTACCAAATGGTTGTTTTCATTAAATGGTTAGCATATGTGCACCACATGTTTTGCTAAACGTACTGAAACAATGTCTCCTCTAGCTAACATTTTAAGGATTTGATTAATCAAATGGCATATACTGTCTGGACACAGCACCTGAATGTTTTTTGGACAGATATTTTTACACTTTTGTCAGTCTGGGAAAAAACTTCCCAGAAGACCCCCAAAAACCCAATTATCCATATTTTATCCCATCTTAATAACTCCAGGGAGTATAACATCTTCCTCTCACAACTAGATCATGGTGGTTGTGAGGATTACCACAGGAAAGCATCACCATGGAACTTTCCCCTGTTACTTCTCTGAGCTGTTTTGGATTTGTTGTGTTGTACCAGATAGAGAGGGGAGGGAGAATCTGGGAGTTGCTGCAGCAGAGCTATCTGGTCTCCCTCCGTGTGGTTCTGGGGCCCCAGCTTTAGGAAAATATTAAAAATGCATGAGTAGTTACTGGTGGAAAAACCTCATGCATTCTGAATGGACCACATGGTTTGGGGGAGCTAGTTAGACACATATCTTATTGCTCCTACATCCAGCCCTGGTCTGCCTCTACTCCTCTCTACTTAGCTGAACCATTGTGGAAAAACTGACGATGCCTTTGGACTGCCTGAAGCCAAGATAAACTGGCCTGGTATATTCCTATAATGTGTGAGTGTACACAAATCTCCTGCGCTTTGGTACTGCCAGACTCACTCATAGTGTCTCTCAGAGATCCCAATGTGCAACTCGGATGAGTCTAGTGCACAGCAGCAGTTGCATTGGTAGTGGGTAGACAAAAATGAACATAGATATCATCATCTTCCACTATGGAAATGTCACACTAGAAAAAAGGCTTTTCTATTTACTGCTACTTGTTTTATGTGTGCACAGTGTGTAATGTTTTCTTTTACTGTTATACTCAGAGAATGAAACAAAGTCAGGTCTCCCAAATGAGTACCACATTGAAGAATAAATGTCCAAGCCTCAGTCGGCTCAGCATTTTAACCAGACTGTAATTGTTCCAAAATGAAAGTCTGATGTGCGTGTACTTTTTTGTATTTTATTTTAAGCTCTACTGGGTACGTCCTCCCTGGGAATGGACACTGAACTTACTGGTGTGTAGTGGTAGTAATTTTGCATTAAAGTCATCAGTTGGGGTGGTTCACTGAGGTTATGTAGGCGTACAGTAACACAGGGGTGTGCAGTGAGAAAAACTCATGCACACCCCTACATGAACACCGACCACAAGAATGTTAAGTAACTCTAGGTGTCATGTGGTCCAGATGTGTCACATAAGTATAAAAACTGTCAATGTATGGCTAACCACAGCATTGAATATGGTTTACTCAGGCTTTGAACGGTAAAGTCATGTTCACATTCAGTAATATATGCAATATTGAGTTGGATCCAACTTGTTTAGGAAATCTAAACACTCAAAATCAGAACCCTTTGATCTTATACACCTTTGTCAGGTCTTAATTAGATCTTCCATCTTTGGAAACCTATTAAATTCCCCACAGGCATCTTTTTTTTTTTTTACAAAATACAACAGTTTTCCAAACAAAGTGGGCAAGCTTCTACGGTTTATACAGATTTTCCAAAATACATTGAGTGCGCTGACCCTGAGATTTTACATCAATCAAAAATAAAATAAATAATGCAGCTAGTTTAAAATATTTACACCTGCTTCAGTCTTTTTCAAAGTGAATCTGAAGGCCATATGTCCAACAACCACCCACTGTTTATTGTCCCAGCGAGCAGACTGATTGTCTTGCTGACTTTTCCCGATCAGTAATGATGATGGGGGTTGTTAAGGATGCAAGTCATATGGGATCCATTTAGCACTTCCTGCTCTCTGAAGCAGGTCCCCTCATCACTGCAGCTTATTGGCTTTTGTATACAAAGTTCTAACAGTCCTCTTTGCGGGGAAGGACCCTGAATGTCTGTAAATTTCGTACAGAATAAGATTAGGTTGCGTATTATATGATCGATATAGGACTACAGAACTGGGGAACAAGAACACAGGATGCTGAGTGCTGAGATTCCTTTTCTTTATGTAGAAAGTCATCAGAGTTGGCTTGGCCTGGCCTCAGGTGCTGTTTTCCATCTAGTTCACTTGACATTGGATGACTAATTCCTTTGTGCATCTGGTTTCCCTCAAGGTTTCATACTACAGGGGAGATTCCCCTTGTTCTCCTGCTGCTCCCAGTAGCCTTTGTCTTAAAAAGGCTACTGGGAGCAGCAGGACTTTAAAAACATGTATTAACTGCATAGGACAACACAATATATTGTTTCTACTAAACAGAGATACATGTCTCTGTAGGTTAACACAGAATGCTATTGTTTTTTCTCATCTCCTAAAAACATAAAGGAATAGTTTGACAATCTGGGAAATACTTATTCACTGATCAATATCACTGTCATATCTGTCCGTTACATATGATGCTACATTAAGGAAACACTTAGCTTAACAAAAAGACTGGAACAGATAGCTTGACTGTGTCCAAAAAATCTGCCCATCAGCACCTCTAAAGCTCAGTTGCATGTTACATCCTGTTTGTTTACAGTAATACATACAAAAAAATGGCCAACGGAAGACCAGTCTTTATGCCACGCTAGGCTAACTGTCTTCTGGCTAACTTTCCTCTAATTCTAGGCAAAAAGCAAAAAAGCATATTTTTCGAGAATGTGAAACTAATCTTTTAAACTCAGATGTTCAAAACCAAAGTTACAAAGTACTAAAAAGAAATCTGGTATAAAGTTATGTAGTGTCCTATGCCAACTTACATTGTTATTGACATTATTAGACATTAAAACATTATTCATGATTATACTGGGTAAAACGGTTGTAATAGTGTAATTCTAGATCAAATGTATGTTTTTCTGTCACTGTTGAAAGCCCTTCAGCTTATAAAGATCAAACAAATTAACAATTCGAGTTAACATCCCTATGTCATGTATTTGGAGATGATAAATAAATAGCAATGGGATAGAAATGGATCCTGCTTTCCATAAATGTGGACACAGGATATCTTTATATATAAAACACTGATGAAGATTAATGGTTGAGTAGTAGCCCAAATGATAAATAACCTGACTATTATGAGACAAATGATTGGAGTTCCATGTATCAGGCGATGGACAGCTATCTGAGCACCAAAACATTTGAATGAAATTAAGAATTTAAGCTTCTACCAATTCTCATTGGAGTTTGTCCAAGTTAACCAGGATATGGTGGCTTCATGGTTTTTTAAAATTTTTTTTGGATGTGGGTGTAAAGAGACACAGTCACACTGTTAAATGTTATTCCACCTTGTAGGCTCACCCAGCTTCTGCCTATTTAATGATGTTTCCTACCATTCAGGTCTGATTCAGAATTGAGTGACAACTGGATCCTTTTTTGTCTTCTCCAGATGGAACTTGGACACATCTACTACATGCATGACAGCACCGAGAGCACAGAGGACAGTTTTACACTCTCTGCCACAGCTTATGAGATTGAGCGCCGGAGCCTCCCTGTCACCATCTCAGTGACTGTCATACCAGTCAACGATGAGCCGCCAAAACTGACACGTAACACAGGACTGGAGGTAATGTTTTGCTCTTTGAAAGTGCATTTGCTGTTACTTTGAGCTTTCCTCCAACATACTCAACAGTAAATGGGATGGAAATGTTGCTGTAGGAAGATCGTTTATATCTATAAAATGTAAACTTTCTGTTTGTTGGAAACTTTTAGTAAATTTGAAGTGATGAGAATTTAATCTGACCACAACCTTCACAGTGTGTGAGGGAGGAAAAAACTAACATTTGACCTTTGAAAACAAGGGAAGGAGTATTTTATACTAGAAAGATGAAACTATGGAGGAAATAACTTGCTTCCCTACAGGTTTGTGTTGGTTCCAGTGCTCTGTTTATTTCATGATACTTTTGTGGATATATTTGCTTTCTCTCCTGCAATATGCTGGAAATAAAAACCAGCACAAGTTGTGAAATGTTACTGACAGGTGGTAGGCGTTCCCACCTGCTCCTGCATTTGCATAATTGTTCTTATGCCCAAGCCACAAAAATTTGAAGGAATGGTAGATAAATGGCTTAAAAGTGGTTGATGAGATTCTAAAAGGGGTCATTTTATGAAAAGTGAATTTAGTCAACTGCTAAATTTAGAAGTCCAGATGCACTCAACACTCAAAGGTCTTATGTTTGTAGGGAATATCTTACATTACAGTTTAAGTTGATATAAAATCGTGTTAAGATTTAAAATACTCTGAACTCTGAATGAACTCTGTACGCAATGCTGATCTTTCTCACATCTTATTGGATAGTCCAGCTGCAGTTACAGTCCACTTTCATGAATCCTGTATGAACTGAGAATTAAATTCACTTCATGTAGCAAGTACAATAAATGCAGAGAATTTTTACTGACCTTACAGACGATGATGCATGCTGCATCAGTACAGGAGTGGCGTCCACAGCAAATTTGTTTTTCATAAAGAGCCATGAAATAGAAGTGAATTAACATATTCTCAGCTTGACTGCACCAAATGTGGAAAGCAAATCATTTAAGCCACATAAGTGTAAGAGGGCAGTGATTCACTACTGTATGTACGCAATACAGTGTCAAGCAGAATTTCAGGTTTACTGTATCATTATGCATATTAATGCAGTTTCAAATTTGCTGATTCCCCAGTTTGCAGTAGAACAGGAGGAGAAGATAGTATTATTATAGCAGTACCTTATCCCTGTATCTCAGAGGCATGTACTTGCCATATATGTATAGTCCCACATTCATTAGTCAACATTTTTTTTGAAATAACATTTTAAATATCACATGTGTCTAATTTATAAACATATTTCGTGGTATGGGGCGGTGATGGATAAGACACATGCCTTTTTGTGTGAGAGACCTGGGTTCGAATCCACACCAATGTGTCCCTGAGCAAGACACTTAACACTTAGTGGCTCCAGAGGCGTGTGACCTCTGATATATATATATATATATATAGCAATTATAAGTCACTTCAGATAAAAGCGTCAGCTAAATGAAAAAATGGAAATGTAATTTAAATATTTCCATCTGTAATTAACTCTGGTTAATATTTTCTAATTGATTGGGGTCCTAGCAGAATTACAGCCTAAAGATTCAGAAGTTTGCTGGAATTAAAAGATTTGCTTTTATGAGGTCATTCTTTCTTATCTTCATTCAAATGGACAACATTTCAATCTCCGTTGAATATTCATCAGATCAAAATCTTTGGATACCTCATTCATAAATATGCCACTACACTGATGGGTTCTACGAAGACAGGTGTGGTTAACCATCCAACCCTCCCAGAATGATAAACATCTCAAAACACTTGAGTACACAGTGAAAACTCCGTCAAAATACTCAATCTATCAATTTCAAAAAGTGGAAAATGAATCCAATATATCAATCCATCCATCTTCAACCGCTTATCCTGCGTACAGGGTGGCAGGGGGCTGGAGCGAATCCCAGCTTACATCGGGCGAAAGGCGGGGTACACCCTGGACAAGTCGCCAGTCCATCGCAGGGCCACGCATAGACAAACAATCACTCACACTCACATTCACAACAATGGACAATTTTAGAGATACCAATTAACCTAGCCTGCATGTCTTTGGATGGTGGGAGGAAGCCAGAGCACCCAGGGAGAACCTACGCAGACACGGGGAGAACATGCAAACTCCACACAGAAAGGCTGTTGTTCAAACCCACGACCTTTTGCTGTTAGGCGACAGTGCTAACCACTGCACCACTGCGCCGCCCCCAATACATCAAATCTATTAAAAAGATCTTGAATATATCCAAAATAGCAAGTAACATAAGAGCAAACAGTATATATTAAGTAAAGTATAATAAAAACATGTTTTTGCCAGAAACACTCATATGCATCATATTTTTCTATTAACACACACTAAGATATACAGCATGTTATCGCGAGACTATACAGCTATCAACAAACAGCAACAACAGATATTCCCAAAATGTGTCTAAATTTACAAAAGTTAAGTTTTTCAAGAAGTGTTCCACTGAACTGTTACATTTCTGACATGGATCAATCTCGCTTATTACGCCCTATCACTATATCATTTCATCACAATGATTACAAGTGTTTATTGAACATTGTCCTTATTTAATTGTATCTACAGTAGGTTCAGAGCGTGTTTGCAACACAAGTTTTGAAGGATCAATGAAGTAGATTCTACAGGCAGGCAGTGGGAAATAAACAGCAGTAATCAGCTCAAAGAACTGGAAACCAACTGTGTCATTCAGCCTTCCCTGCTCTGCCTGTGGCTCCGCGTCTCCCTGGCAACCCATATTTTTGGAAAACCAAGATGGTCGACGAGACCATGGCTTTCTGGCAGAGTGAGGGCGGCATAGAATCCCTGTGCCTCCTCTGCTGCGGTTGCAGAATGTAACATAATAATACGTGGATGTCTCCCCACACAGAGTCAGGGCTGACCCAGCAGCACTTGGATTGATTTAAAGCAGGAAGTGTGTGTGTAGTGACCCTGCAGCAGATGATCAGACATGATGACTAACATGGCTGTGCTCAGACTCTGTTCTAGCTCACCATTGATCCCATTTGGCCCAGTCTATAGGATACAGCTGGTTTCGATTAGGGTTTACACTCTGTCTCAGTCTGTCTCAGTCTGGTTATGTGTGTCTGAATAGTTGTTTCTCTGGGTCTTTCTTTCTTTCTTTCTTCTTTCCTTCCTTCCTATCTATCTATCTATCTATCTATCTATCTATCTATCTATCTATCTATCTATCTATCTATCTATCTATCTATCTATCTATCTATCTATCCAAACACTCTTGCTTTGAATGCCATCCTAATCCCTCTTGCTATTTGTGCGCATGACCATTGAGTGTATATGGAACACCACCACTGTCTTTTTTTTTCATGGCCATATATTACATCATAGCCACTGACAATAAACTAGCATGTTTCTTGTTGTTGTTTTCCTATAGTTTGTGTACCTTTACTTCACCACTCCCCAGTATAGAGTTAAAAACACACTGGTGTTGCCTGCACTTAAACCAGCCAAGATTGCGGATGCCGTCTGGGGGTTGCACTTTCAGACCTCTGGCGCCCCTCAGAGTCTGAAACATTTAAAGAGACGGTTGTATCCTGTTGAGTCATCGGCAAACTAAGTCATTTGCCTATAGCAGCTCTTTCATTACTGCCTCCAAATGAAATATCAGCCATTGTGTCCGATCAAATTAAATTTGCAGCCCATCCTCTTAGGTGCTAAATGCATTGATTGTTATATAAACCATCAATTTTTTCAGATTACCTGCCCTATATAGCCTAGTGCCTTGCTGTTGTGTAGCGTGGGTTGATGTGGCCATCTAGTGTCAGAGATTGGGTTTGCACTGTAGAAAAATGTCCATCACAACTACTGACAATACCTTTAACCTGGTGATGTGACCTTATTTTAAATATTGACACATTTTTTAGTATTTGAGAAGGCTGTTTTACAGTGTAAATTGTGTTTTCTTATATCTGGTGTACAAATTTGGATTTCAGCACAATAGATAATCAGTGTTATTATCATCTTCCCAATGGACATTACAAGTCATTTGTGTAATATAGTCATTACATACATAATCATTTGTGTCGGGAAAAAAAGCACTGTCTCACATCAGCTTCCCAGTGAAATTCATTGGTGTAGGGTGAGGTCATATTTACTGTTTTTGATTTTGTTCTCCATACATGATTTTTTTCTCCGTACATCTAAAACAAATTGCACAATACCCTGAAGATCAAAAAGTCACTTGTCAATTGCCAAGATGACTAGAGGCTTTTGTCGTGAGGTTGTGCTCTAAATTAAGACATGTTTTCTGTTGGCTCTTGTCAGTAGATTGTTCCGACCATCCTTAAAAAAATAAACCTTTGACAGCATCAGCTGCGTTAGTACTGGTGGAGGAAATGATGGTGAGGTAAACACTAGTTTTTGCCTGCAACAGTGCTCTTTAATGCTAAGAAATTGGTGCTATCATCTGCTAAGTAATCTCTGAGTCATCACATTCAAAGTTACCAGAAGGACTTTCAGCCTCTCTCTCAATAGGGGGAGGGATAAAACAGAAGGAACGCATAGAGCATCTGTCTCATCCATGGTGCACTGAGGAAAGTGGGTGTTCTGCCTTAAGGCAAACAATCCATTTCCACCTTTACAGAGTCCAGATTTGGCTCAGAATTTTTGGGTTCAGTTTCTAATCCCCCACAAGGGGTGTCCTACTGGGGTGTGCTATTCAGGCTTTACTTTCTGCTGGCCTGAGATGTAAACTACCCAGAGGAGGTGAAGATTCTCCCATGCCTGATATCACAGGTTCTATGTAGGCTTCAGCAGCAGAGTGGTTTGTTGATGTTGGCTGAAATGATGTAGTTGTCAGTTATACCAGAAATATCCTTGCAACCTATCAGTGGCCTTAAAGTGATGCAGAGCCATAATTTCCCATAGGATGATATGACATTCTTCCTGTTAAGGTGACATGCCACATACCGAGCTCTTCCAGGCAGGTTACCCCCATTTTGTCATTGAGGTATCTGACACATGAAAGGTTTTTCTCTCCACTGGTGATTCTTCAGGCAGGAAGAATATCTCTGATAGTCTAATTCCCTCATGGCTAAATGGTCACTAGATCCAATCGCAATCTGGTTAACAGTCTCTGCAGGTATCTCATGTGCAGCAGTCCTGGTGGAAGCATGAGCTACTGACTTCTAGTGTCAATCCATGTTTCACAAATTACAGCTGAACTCTTTAGTACAGTTTGGTACAGTTGATACACTTGTTGTAGCTGGGATCCCCAAATATCTGCAAATGCAAGCAGCAGGCCTCAGTCCCTTCTGAGCAGACAGTGTAGCCACCAGATTTAGCCACCTGCTTACTCTCAAACATCAGCACCTCTGCTCTCCACACCTGGGCAAAAAGGCTGCCCACTAGGCACTGAAATGACTAGTGCAAAAAAGGGTTAAATACACATTTGAATATAGTCATTTATATTCTTATAAAACAACAGTTACTGTGACAAAAAACTGATTTAGTCTGCATTTAACCAAGACGTCCAGACATATTTTGACTTGTAAGTCATCAAATCAGCGCTCATGTTGTTTAAACAATTGATAAATCAAAACAATGTACATAATTGTCACATTGCTGAGGTATGTTTAAAGTATGTTTTTATTAGTATTTTAGTATTTTAATTGGTTTGCATGTTGACGTCTTACTTATGTTTCTTTTAAACTCAGCACACACATTTGAAATTTATAGTAATTTAGAGTTTATAAAGTATTTATTGAAAGGTTAAAGACTTTTAACAGTTATCACCTTAATGCAGGTACACATAGGTAGGACTTTCAGATAGAATATACAAGCTTGTGACCTCTGATGCCACTGTACAATACAGTTTCTTAAAAAATGTATAGCAGCAGAAATTGTGAACATGAAATAATGAACATGAACAGAACTATTGATTTCAACTCAAAACTTACTTGTTTGTGAAGTTGTTACCAGTTGTAAAAGTTATCATTTGAGAGGAAAAAAGATGCAATCTACACGCAAAAAAAGAGTGTATTGTTGAATTATGGCTTTGAGCTGTTGATGCTATGTCATAGTGATAGAACTTTGATGGCTGAAAGGGATGTTATGAGCAGTGGTCTGTGAGGCAACTAAATTATACACTTCACAACACATTTGTTGTATTGAACGAGTCTGGATGGGTCTGAAATACCAGAAATTACACAGAGGACTGAAAGAGACAGCAATTTAGTCGGTTTGTGTTGTCATTAAGTTTGTCTCCAGAACATTTCATGTAAAAATGAGGGGAAATGGAACATGTTTTTTAGACACACTGGCAATGTGGCTGTAGAGATCTCAGTTGGTCATTCAGACCTCCACTTTAGTGAAGACTGAAATGCTTCAAGCCCCACTTACTAAAGGTACAGCCTCACAGAGCCATTAGCATGGCTGGAGAGTAGACTCTTACACTTGTTTTGATTAATAGTTTAGTTCTGAGTCACTAGAAACTTGCTACTGTGGTGATATATTGTTTTAAATTGTTGTTTGTGTGTAGATCTATGTTTGGATTACATAGCCTACAGTATAAACTTAAATACTAAATTAAGTATTTAGGCTGCTATTACAGTGAATTAAATAATATATAATATAAAGTCTGCCCTAAAGCACTTAATCGCTGTTGTAAACTGCTGTTGTTAATGTACTGTGGCTTTCTGGCTCACTTGTGTTGTTTTCAAAATCCCATGAAAACTGAGCACATGTAGACAATGTGACATCATACAAAGATTTGTAGAGCACAGATCTGGTAACATCAGCAGCATTTTCTGCACTTTACATGTCAACAATATTTTATTTATATTTTTAATTTTTTTGTATAGCACAAACACACAGTTATGAAGTGCTTCACATATAGGATACAATGGACATATACAAAAACAAGTATAGATACATACCTACACACATACATACTATATTGTACATATGCATGATACATAGACAAGAATTAAAGCAGGACTAAAATAAACAAAACTAAAGGCAAACAGAGGTTAACCTGTAGAAATGAGCTTTCAGCAGCCACAGTCGCCACAAATCACCACAGATTTAGCAGATCTGATGCAATCGGGAAGGCTGTTCCAAAGTTTCGGGGCCTCAACCTCAAAAGCACAAAAGTAATTTATTTATTTAAAATCCAGAAATCAGAAGTAGACCAGAATGCAACAGAGCTGTTAGACAGGTTGAGTTTAAAATTTTTGAGTCTGTTATCTCCTTCTTTACTCACACATGCACAAATGCATGCCACAAGTTCATGCCAACTCTCTAAGGGACTTAATAACTGACATAGAGGTAAGAAAGGAAGGCTGAGAGAAAGTGGGCTAAATTTAAAAGTTAATTACCACACTTAAGAATTCTAGTACTTCCTTATGAAATACCTCTTGACGTATGTGTTATGGATGATAATGATATGTGCTTGCCTGTGCCACATAGCAAAAACGAGCTTCTAAATACAACTGACTCTCAGTGGTTGACACCTGAAGCTTTAATATCTACAGCTGAGACTTCTCCTCTGTTCTTCCTCATGCCTGAGGCTTCATCCTGAGTCTTGAGAAAGACAGAGCGAGAGAGATGGCTTTCGAGATCGATACGTACCTCTTACTGCAGGGTACCCTCGGCTCACTCTCCCAACTGATTCCAGCTATTTAAGAATGTCTTTCTGGGGATCTGGCCCATTTCTTTCAATTAATGCTCCTTTCAGCCAGCCAACCATTAGAACTCCATTAAAGCCCTCTCCACCCAGGGAGAGTCGTTCAGCCTGCACTGCTGTGCTCCATCTTCTGATAACAGGAGCGTCTAGACTGCCAGAGAGAAATAATTAACCTCTAAAATTGTTACTTTGGAGGTGGCTGTTTGTAGGATGTTTGTAGGAATTGACTATTTCTTGTGTTCCTGTTGGTTCCCTGTTTGGCTGGCTTTTTTTGCTTGTTTCTGTTTCTTTGTTTCTATCTATATAAGAAATTACTGTTGTACTTTGAAGAACTTCCGACACATGTTAACAGACAGCATCATTTTGTCTTATATACACTAAGCAGCCTCTAATCATTTTCAAATAAACTCATGACACCTGGCCTTAATTACATTCCTCCAAACATAACTCAGACTAAGTAATCTGTGGTATATTTTCATCTCCGTTTCTCTCTCTCTCTCCCACTGTCTTTGATATTTCACAGGTTCTTGCTGGAGAGGAAGCTGACATCACCACCAGCATGCTGAACACTGATGATGCTGATACCACTGCAGAGGAACTGGTTTACCACGTTGAGGTGCCAACCAATGGGATGGTGGCGTTGAAAGAAGCGCCTGAGTACAGCATACTAAATTTCACACAGGCTCATATAAACAAAGGGGAGGTCATCTTCATTCACGAGGGTGAGTCCACTAGGTTAAGAGGACAGGAAGTAACTGTTCAGTCATATAATGCCTCTATTCGACTTTTTTGCATTAGTATATTGTATATTAATCTAAGACCTTTATCGGCATCTATCTTAGACTGCTGGTATTACAACAAACATTACTGTGTAGAACATCTCACCTTCTACACAAGTGTCTGTGTTTCTAAGCAGAACTCTCAATACCTGGGAAATTAATCAATAGTCACTGGTATTGATCGACAACCTTATTAAGCCCCACAGATATTCTGTGGACATTTTGTGTCAAAATAGTACTTGAGAGTAATCTTTATTTGTCCCTTTAGTGTGCCAAATAGAAGTATAATTTACTACAAATGTATAGCAAGTTACATTCTGCAAATTACATTCTGCTTTTCTAAATTAGTAAGTAGCAGATATACATAAGCAGAATAATATAAATGAAAATATAAGAGGAAAGAAATAGACTAATAAATTACCTAACTAAATGACCAGTAAGTAACATCCAAACTCTTCTGTTTCTCCAGGGGAGGATTCTGGTGGTTTCAGTTTCACAGTGACAGACGGAGAGCACACGTCTCCTCTCTACCGATTTGTTGTCACGGCCAGGCCTCTCACCATCACCATGGTAACGCAGGAGGAGCTCATGGTATTTCCAGGTAAGATGCCAGAATCCTTCAGATATTGAGCCATGAAGATGTCGGTGATGAAAGGATAACCACAGTGCCAATTGTGCGGTCACTTCTTCAGCTTAGTCCTTACAGCAATATATTAATAGTTCCTTATACCATTATTTTTATTCTCTTTTGTATCTATGACAGACATACAAAACATAGTCAAAAAATAAAAATTACAAACTAAAAATGATGTTGCCTACATTTTGTCAAAACCTTAGTAATTCATTTGTGAAAAATAGAGTGCTTGTATTGAAGAATACTACTGTGAATAGTCCTTCACATGTTTCCAAAGTCCTTGAATTTTCCCTTTATTGCGAATATTAATTTTTCAGTACATAGCAAGCTTGAAAGTCCTTTTAACCACTGGCTAATAAAATGTTTTTAGTGGATTTTTTCAAAAACTCAACAACTGTATATTTGGCGTGCAGATAATAAAAATGCTTCTCCTTCCTTAAGAGTAGGAAATATACCAATAAATATATTAAGGAAATAAAGGAATATCAAAGTCAACAATACAAGAAACACAAAATACAACTTTCTTCCCAATATCTTTGAGTTCCATGAATAAAGTGTCCCTCTGTCCTTCTTACATTTAATGTAGTTGGTCTGGGAAGTCTGTTTTGATCTTGTGTAAAACTCACGTGGGGTGATATTGATTCCCCTTAACTTAATTTGAATGATGCATATTTAGTTTGTTTGGTTATTGTTTATTTAGCAAGGACAATGTACAATACATGTATTGTATCAGATATAGCTAAAGCAAATTATCATTTGTAGTCCATGGGTGGTGGCCACTACTGATGTGCAGGTTATAGGGATAAAATATCAGTTGTAGGAAATCAAAACATTACACTTTTTTTCTCAAAACATTTTAACATTTTAATCTCAGAAATTCAGATTTTTTTTCTCTGAATATTACACCCTCCCCAGGCTCCATAATTATTTAAATCTACAATAGCCCCAATACCCCGTAGTAGAAAATTCTGCTGACTTAGATGTAGTGTCAATTTTGTGTCAGAGTAAATATGCCAAAGAGTTTTGGATTTTAGTTATTTCTACTAATTTAATTTGAGACAATGTAACCTATGCTGAACAGTAGCCACTGTGGCCAGAAGTGTCATCACTTCACTTCAATTGTCATCAGAATCAGTTTAAGCATATTATTATGTTAATCTGAAACATGCTAAAATGTTGTGTAACTGGAGAACAAGTAGAGAAAAGTCAAAAAGCCACTAAACTCACTGATTAATATCTATGCTAAGATTAGCCACTACAAGCTACTGGTCATACCCGACTAAGAAAGCTTGTAGCTTCAAAACTCCTGAGTGTATTGAATTCAGCAAGGGTGCATTTTATATCTTAAGAATTCAGGTTTTATTCATAAGGGGAATATTGTAATTTTACTTCTTAGAAAAGCTATACAGTCTTTAAGATTACTCTTCCTTTTACAGTAGGTGCTTGATTTAAGTAGCGCATCAAAGTTAGTTTAAATACATTGAAAATAAAATGTACCTGTCACTATTTAAACTTTTGAGAGGTGAAACTGTTTCATGAGCACAAGTGTCAGCACAAGCAATAACCTCAGCTCTATTCATAACAAACTTTACTTTTATGCATGACGCAGGAAATGAGCTTGAAAGCTTGGATAACATTTTGGAATGAAACTTTCACCATCAGGAAACTCTTCTGCACAGCAATGTGCATGAGTTACTGTAACCGCTAAAGTTTGAGGCAATTCCAGACTCTGCTTAATATCACAAGCTCGAGTACACTTCCAAAAGGCCATTTTCCACAGAGTCATCTCAGCACTCAGAGGACCGTGTGTGTGTGTGTGTGTGTGTGTGTGTGTGTGTGTGTGTGTGTTACACAGGAACAAGGCAGCCCATCACGGGTGCCAATCTGGGGGCTGTAACCAATGAGGATGGAAATGAGATAAGCTACTCACTTATCCGCCCACCCCGTTTGGGAAGACTTATCCTGGCCAATGGCAGGAGCCAGTATGAGGAAATTACCCGCTTCTCACAATCACAGGTAATTACTTTTTCTGCGTGTTATGATAAATGTGTGTTTCTGGGATGTATTTCTTTGAGGGAGACATTTAATCAATTTCACTTCCTACCTTCTTACAGTTTTTTTCAATTGCTAAAATGCGATGGTCAAAACTGAAGCCACTTTTTCAAAACTCTTCACACAGTCTGCATTACCAACATGCATCCTGGCCAAACAGTTAATCTCACCTCCAAAAGTCACTCAAACCACCAAAACACTTCATATAAGCCTCAAAATAAACTTGTTCAGCCAAAACACTGGCAACAATACCCACTCAGAAAGCATGCAATCTCACTCATAACACACTGACCTACAAAACACTAACTAACTAGTAAATTTGTTGAACTTTTATTCTTGAAATGTTACTGATATTTTCATATAAATCAGTATTTCATTACAGAATACAGTTGTTTTCAGTCACATTGATAAATTTCTCAGATCAGAATTTAAATTCTACTTGTTCAAATTCCACATCATCTAGTCACTTGTGCACATCATATGTAAAAGCAATTTTTCAGAAATTGCAAATTGCACATGCTTTGACACATTTATGCAAATTATTATGTACATTTGTCTGCTGTTTCCTACATTATCAATTGCTTACTATATGTCATTGCGTAAGTCACTACATGCAAAATGGTTGAACACGTCATAATATGCATTTTCCTACGTATGTCTATTAGACTTGTTTTGTAAATGTGGCCCAATAGACAGGAACATCAACCGGAGAGGGTATTTTCATGTTTCCATTTCTTATTTTGTAGTTGTTTCCGTTGTGCTATGCAGTGCTGTAAAATAGTCTTGTTTGTTTATGTCACAAAGACATGCTCTGTCAACAAATTACAGTGTATACACTAAAAGTGTAACTGTGAATCCTGTCCAATCTCTTGCAATGCTTACTGTAACTCTGTACTGTTGAAATTGAACTATGCCATACAGAAAAAGTACAGCCTTGTGCATTTTCAATCATTGTCATCAAAAGTTTAGCCATAGTTTACCAATACAAATAGTTTTGCAAATGTACCAAAGCGACTGAGAAAAAAATGGAAGAAACCTGTAACATATTTTCCCTTGCAATGCACTGAGGGAAATACCTCATTGCATGGCGTATCCATCCCTGGCAGTCCTCTGCACCTATTGCCAGGCAACCATCATTCATTGCCTCCAGGAGGGGCATCTGCTCATATGGCCGGTGATCATACACCTTCCACCTCCAAGCAGAGAAGAACTCCTCGATTGGGTTCAGAAAAGGCGAGTATGCATGGAGGAATTGCGTGATAATACGAGGCGAGAGTTGTGAAAAACCCCATTATGACATACGGAGTCATGCCAGGCCTCAACAGCCCTCTCTCTTTGGGTGCAATCAATATTTCTTCCAATGCATCAAGAAATGTGATGAGGCATTCTGTATTGTATGGGCCAATAGTTGGTATGTGGCAAAGGACCCCATCATTGGAGATGGCAGCACACATGGTGATATTGGCACCCCTCTGACCTGGCACTGTGCCCTCTGCCCAATGATGTTCCTCCCGCGTCTCCTCACTTTACTGAGGTTGAAGCCGGCTTCATCCACAAAAATGAATTTGTGATGTGCCCCTTCAGCTTCAAGCTCCATTATTCTCTAAGAAAAAGAGCAAATTCATAAAGCAAATTATTCCAGTTGCATGTAACTATGGTAAACAAGGTATTACAATAAGAAATCTGTACCTGCACATACTGGAATTGTGCCTCCTTTACGATGTCAGAGTTTCTTTTAAATGGAACTCTGTACAGTTGCTTCATTCTGACATGGTTTCGTTTAAGGACTCGATCTATAGTTGCCAAACTCACACTGTTTATATTTCTAAATGCTCCCTGATCTGCAATTACTGCTGTCTGGATTTCACGCAGTCTGATTGCATTGTTTGCCACTACCATTTCTACAATGGCAGACTCCTGTTCAATACTAAATATCTTTCCTCTGCCACCAGTGTGTGGTAATGTGTGGATTCTATAAAGTAAAAGCAAAAAGCATGTCAAAGCATTGACATTACTGTATGGCAGTCACATACATGGGATTGATAAAACATCTGCATTACTGTAGACACAGTTTGTTCTGCTAATAGGGCAATCCAGTAAAGCTGAAATACACAGTGGTATACATTACAGTAACACTGTGAATTACCTGTTCTCATTCCGAAAAGGCCTGACAATAGATGCCACAGTGCTCCAACTCAGAAGGGGCTGGACCCTTTGTCCAGCCTCTCTAAATGATTGATGACATGGTCAATAATTTTTGCCTGAATTTTATTTGAAACTTGAGCTCGATTTCGTCCTCTTGCTGCTGCAGCTCCTCCACCACGCATACAAACTCCTCTGCCATGGCCTCTTGCTCTCCTTCCGTGCCTATGGCCTCTTTGATCTATGCTTGCAAATAGCAACACAGAGGTGGCATCTTTTATAGATGGATGGGGACTGATTGCTGATTGAAGAGTTGTGCAAATGAGTTTCACACAGGTGCATAGAGATTTATAATTATGCAAGTACTTTCTATCAGCTGTGATTAGATGTTTTCCTTTTGTTCAACACAGTGAATCTAATAGAGTTCGGGGTGTTTCAATGAGATCCGTGGTAACTGTTTTGACAAAGGGTGTGAAAAATGTGTGAAACAAATGAAAAAGTGTTCTGACTTCTGCTGTGCTAATAATGTGATGATGAAGATCAAGCAGATCCCAGTTTCATTTAGTGTGTCTTAGCAAATGAGAAAAACTGTATTGACTGTACCATAACATATGTTACAAGAATGAATCAGAACTACATTTAGTAATTTACTTGTGAAAAAAAGAAGTTTCTGGCATTTCAGTGCTGCAATACACTTTTTTTCAGTTGTGATGACCAATGACCACAGTCTGTAATTGATGTAGCATCCCCTTGAACCAATTCTGCTAAAATAAAGCACATTTCTTGCTTTACTCTCAGCTTGCAGTTTTACAGTAAAACCACATTCAAAACATTACACATATTTCTCTAAAACATAAAATGGATGTAAATGTTCTGCAAATATTTTCTATATATATCTGTCCAGCTACAGCAAAAATCCAGGAAATTTGCAAACATTTTGTTTTGAATGTGTTTTTAACAGTTTTGGACACAGTATGTTGTGCTGCAGATATATAGTGTTTTGCAGGTGGTGAAGTAGTAATGGGGAAAGAGTTCATGGATTTTGGAGAAAGTGGTCACTGAATACATTTTGTGTGAAAGCAATGAAAAATTATTCACAGTTTGGTCCACATACACTTGTATGTGGATTGTGTGAAGAGTTTTGACAATGTGACGTCAGTTTTGACCAATGCAGGTTAGCAATTGAAAAAAACTGTAAGATGAATGTTCTACAATAATCTTTAATGATAATAAATTATACAGTAAAAACAACAGTAAACAGTAAAATACATTAAAGCAAAACATAGTTTTTAAAAAAGCTTGTGGCCAAAAAAATGCAAAAGGAAAAAATATCTTTTAATGGATTTTTTAAAAATAATCTGTTGCTTGAGGGGGCACTTTAAGTTCAACTATTGTTTTTTTTGTAACCATTTTCTTTTCAACTAAATCCTCTCCACTTTCACTTTCAACATTCCTTTTGATAGTGAGTGTGTGTTACTAAGCAGTCATATATGTTAAAGGCACCCTAGTCATCTGCTGCAAAGACCATCAGACGGACATACAGTATAAGAAGACATAATGCCACTTTAATTCATTATTATTTATATCGGAGAAGTCTGTGCAATAAACTCGAAAGTAAAGCTCACTCATTCCAGACTAAAACAGCCATAACTAAGTTTGCTTACATAACAGAAAAATGATGACTGCAAAGAATGTGCTCACCAGAACAACAGTATTGGACGTTTGTTCAAACACTTGAAAATGACCTACTCTATGTTACGTTTTCCTAATAACTGATTATGCTGGTAAAAAGTGTCTGATAATCACACTGAAGACTGGTTTGGATCCAGTCTCCTACCAACAGTCAACATCGGTTTTGTTTTAACAACGAACACAATATTTCCTAACCTGAACCATGTTATGTAGGATACATATGCAAGTGTCCAACCCACATGGACTTAAGACACATACTATAGTGTGGTGAAACCTTTGTGAGACAAGAACATAATTTCTTACATATAACATTACAATGCAAACAAAAAACTTGCTGTTGCCTGTAAATCATCATATAATAAAAAACATGAAATGGACATCTTCATGTATTTTGGAGAGACCATTAAATCTTTCTATAGCTATTAGAAATGTACTCACATACACTGTAGTTTTTTTCTTAGGTTTGTACCAAGCATCAACAGACTAAAACCAAATCTAAAACCACAGTCCATTTTGTTGCTTCAGTTATCTTTTAAACTCACATGTGAGGCATCAACACTCTTCTTCACCAGCAGGGGGCCTCATTGTTTAGGCTCATTGGGTTCATCTTTAGCATGAACTGTTCATGCTAGTAAGGTTTTAGCTCTTTGAGATTTTACAGGACTGGGTGACTGCAGTCTTGCATTTTCCTTATTATTTACCTATTATTGTCAAATAAATCTATCTCTCTGTCAAAGCCATTGTATGTAATGGGCATGCTTGAAGAAGATTCAAATATACAAGGGGCCACAGGCAAACAATAATACCTAACAAATTAAGTGTTTTCAAGGAATTTATTACAGTATTTTTTATTTTTACATGCACAAAGGAAAGAAAATTCCAGGCACTCTGGTTCTTGAGTATAATAAAATGCCTTTGGTTTTAAATGGCTGACACCTACGTGTGTCGACAAAACTCTTCATCAGGGTGTGGCCCTTGATTTCAAAGAGCTCCTTTGTTCACTGAAATTTTTTTCTTTTTTTACTGATTGTCTATAAAGGAAAGAAGCACTTCTGTTTTTCTCATCTTACTCAGATAAGCTAACCAAAAGAAACAAATGTGTATATCAAAACATTCTGATGGTATTTTCTGCATTTAATGAATTTGGTTTAGGATTATGGTATACACAACTTGACCACATATGCCCAGCGTTTGTCTGCCATGGTGGCAGTGTGTTCTCACTCTCATCTCCATCTGATTCAAGACTGTTTCTTCATAGCTATTGCTGTGCATGCATGAATATACTCTTGCGTGTGTGTGTGTGTGTGGGTGTGGGTGTGGGTGTGTGTGTGTGTGTGTGTGTGTGTGTGTGTGTGTGTGTGTGTGTGCGTGCGTGCGTGCGTGCGTGTGTGTGTGTGTATGTAAGAGAGAGAAGAGTTGAGTTTGGGACACAGTGACCTCAGAGAGCGAACACAGGCCGTCACATTCCAGTTCTCAAATCCGGATCCCAGTACAGCTGAGCCAAACCACTGCTGCAGCCATTTGAGCTCCCATTTTACATTGGGGCTCACAAATGTCAGAGGGAAAAAGAGCAATAAAATATTTTAGCAAACTAAAATGTCTGTGTCTTCAAAATCACTCCAATAAAAACTCAGTCATTAACTAGTGACTGCAAACGGGGTGTCAAAATTAAAGCTCATATTGACAAGATCAACAGATAAAATCCTGGATTTTGGAACCTGGAATGGTATAGTAGATGTTTGGCCAAAATACCCATTATGTGTATATTAAAACGGATACTGAAAACGGAAACTGAATAATATTTTTCCAAAAGACACGTGCCACAATATAATAAAGTAAACTTTGCTGTCTTTATTGGATGATAATTTTCTTTTATAATGCTTTTATCCACGCCAGTGTGTTAAACTTGCAAATTATGTTATTATGAGTTTTAAACAGCTTACAGTTTACATCTTATCTTCTGATTCTGTTTCCCCTAACACACAGCTGGAGTCAGGAGCAGTCTACTATGAGCACCAGATACCTGAGGAACCATTTTGGGTAGCAAGGGACTCCATAGAGCTTACTCTGTCATCCCAGCCAGCCCCAGAGGTCCGTCACATCCTGCCCATCACCATCTCTTACTATGCTGCTCACAGCAACACCTCCTCACAGCTGTGGAAGAACAAAGGTAAATGACAAAATTAGAAAATAACATAATGTTTTCAAATGACAGAATGGTATGTTTTTATTTTAATAAATGAGTATCCAAATAAATTGCCACTCTATCACACATTTCACACATTCGTAGTTATTGTATACACATTTCCACAGATGTTGAGATTCAGAGATTTGTGGCTAAGCCTGTAAAACCCCATTAGAGGGCTCCGCCTAAAATAATAGCTCTGGAGTAGCAATGTGGAAATATTGTTTTCACCATTTGCAGCCGTGGTTTATTTAAATAGATATTTCAGATGTGTATTCATTAATTTAACTTTTATTCATACAGGGTAGACTGGCTGAGCACACAAGCTCTTTTACAGCCTCAAAAACAAATATAATGAGACCATTAATACAACAGACATTGGACAGTACTAATTGTAGGTTGTGGCGTGACTGACTGACTCAAGTACTGTAGTCATGTGACTCCATTTATAATTATTTTATTCAACATACCTGTTTTCGTGAAAATGTCAAAAAGTGTTGATGTTTTGCAGTTTTGTAATGTTTTAAAGAGATTTTATTCTGAAAACATAATTTCTAAGACCAATATGCTGATGTATACAAATTCTCATTAAAAGATTCTGCTGTCAACCAATTTCTATGGCAGCTTGATTTAAATTTACATCAAGTTTGTTCTCAGATTGGAAAATTCACCTGGCAGTCACAATTGAGTCACTATTGATTATTAAAATATCTGGAAATAATCCCATGATAAGAGATGTATGTTCTGATCAAATTCACATTCATATGTATTTCTATTTAATTTGTCATTATGCTGGAAAATTTTACATGTTCTTCATTTTATTTTATTTTTATTTTAGAATAAAATTCATATTGTGTATATAATATATATATATATATAATATAATTCTTCATTGCCTGAATAGTACAAAGTTATAAAGGGATTTATCTTCTGCTTCTTTTGCTGCCAAAACAACAAGCCGCCTGCTCCATCTGTCTCTCCTAATGTGTCAGCAGCCTAAATATGTTGTGTGCTGCATAATTAAATATTGACAAGAGACAGACAAAACTAGATAGAAAGGATCTTTGGAAACTGAATTTGATGACATTTAATTCTGTTTGTTTTTATTGTTTCCGCTCAGGTCTGGAAATTGTGCAAGGACAGAGGAAAGCCATTGACGAATCAATTCTTGACGCCTCCAACCTTCTGGCTAGCCTACATGAAGATGAGCAGGGTGATGTGGATGTGGTTTTTGAGATTAGGCGTTTCCCTGACCACGGACGTATCACCCTGGATGGTCAGGACCTTCCCCGTAATGCCCCATCCTTCATGCAGGAAGATATAAATCAAGGAAACCTGGAGTATCTCCATGATGACTCAGGGGCCTCTTTTGACAGTTTCTCTTTCAGGGCCCGTCTAAAGTCTGAGAGCCGTGGTGTGGCCTCACCTGCCGAATTTGTGTCCTAGAGGAGATCTTTAACATCTCAATCAAACGGCGGGGCTCTGATCCTCCCGAACTAGTCACTATAGACATGCTCTTGGAGGTTCTTCAAGGCTCCATGACTATCATAACCCAGATGCATCTTAACACTCAAGACGAGGACAGTCCACCAGACGAGGTGCACTTTAAAGTGACCAAAGCCCCTAGCAACGGTCGACTAGTTGACTCCCTCACAATGGACCCCATCTCTGAGTTCACACAAGAGATGGTCAACCGTGGGCAGGTGGGCTTCTTCAGCGATGGCAGCCTTGCCAATGGCTTTGTGGAATTCATTGTGTCAGATGGAGAGCACCAAACAAAGCCACACACGCTCCACATTGGCATCCTAGCTCGCACCCTGGTTCTTGACAAAGCCCCTGAGATTAAGGTGAAACAAGGCGATGATGAGACCCTGGTGACGGAGGAGATGTTGAGGGCCACTACTGGGGGCCCTGTTGAGGAGGACATCCTTTACAAGATCACAAGTGTTCCTAAGTATGCAGCTGTCATGGTAGATCGGCAGCCTACATCCGCCTTCACCCAGACACAGATCAAAGAAGGCAGAGTCAGTGTCCGCTTTGTCAAGTCCACTTCACCTCGAGACAGTGTTGCATTTGTAGCCCGCAGCGGGCTGCTAATGTCTCCTCTGTCCTCAACATCACAGTCCAGCCTCTGGCCAACATTGCCCGGGATCCTCTCTTACCCCAAGGTGCTCTTGTCCAACTGGACAGGAAGCTTCTGGATGCAACTCCCCTGGCAAACAAGACCAGAACCTCCCCCACGTTCACTGTCATCCAACAGCCAAGAGAGGCTCGTTTTGTGAGGTCTGGAGGTCCTGAGGCAGGCCAGCCAGTGGACACATTCAGCCAGAAGGACCTGGATGAGGGCCGTATAGCTATGGAAATTGCAAATAGCTCTTCCAGATCACAAGGTAGTGTCACTCAGGACGAGGCTCGCTTCTTGCTCAAAGCCTATGGGGTTCCCCCTGCAGAATGTGTGCTATCGTTCAAGACAGGCCCCTACAATGCCTCTGGGGTTTACCCAGCCACGTTGTTGAGGATTCCCTCAGAAGCCTCATCAAAGGACAGTAATGATCTTCCCAGTGTGGCTGGTTCCCCTCGTTCCACTCCAGCTAGTCCCCACTGGAGGGGCGACATGGACTGGCCCCACAGAGATGCCCCCACTACAACATCTTCCCACAAGAAACCCCATGTTTCCCGGCGCAGCAACTTCTGGTCTATTCTCATCCCGATCCTGGTAATCCTCCTCCTCTTGCTGCTGGCAGCCATCTTGGCATACTACCTGATCCGTAAAAACAAGACCGGCAAGCACAACGTCCAGACAGCAGCATCCAAGCCCAAAAATGGAGAGGTGGCCGGCACAGAAACCTTTCGCAAAACTGACCCAGCCAATAACATACCTATGTCCAACATGGATTCCAAAGATGCAGACCCAGAGTTGTTGCAGCACTGTCGGACAACAAATCCGGCCTTGAAAAAGAACCAGTACTGGGTCTGAGACACTTTGAGACAGGACACAGACAGAGGTGGATCCTCAACAATTTGGAAGCCTCCTAAAATCATTCCTCTCAGTATTAGAGACCTCTTGCCACACCAGTTTAAATGAAAACATATTTTCACACCATTGGTTATTTACTTATCTTAACATAACTATGGGCAAATTCTCAGGCAATGAAACACTGAATACTTATTAGCAAAGAAAGAGGCAGTATCTAAGGAGGCTCATGCCAGGTCTATTTATTTTAGTTTTATCATTCCTTTTTGTCAAAGGGCACAAATGAAGACATAAACATGCCATGTGTTTGCAAAAAGTATTTTGGGTGTGCTCTGTCATTGTATTCCATATGATATCATAGGCCAATATTATTCATTTGAGTGGATAGGTAATTTAAAATCTTTGTGATAGTTGATTTTAGTTTTTGGTTAATTTGCAAAGTTGATACACCTTGTACATGGATGATGAGGTAAATATATGCTGTATTATCGAGAAGATGAAAAACTGCCTCTGTGTCTTCTCTTTATTTGTCTCTTTTTTTTCAAGGTAATTTTTTGGCATTTCTGCTTTATTTGACAGTGTTAGTAGAGAGAGATAGGAAAGGCAGGGTGGAGAGAGGGGATTACATGCAGCAAAGCATTTGAACCTAGGGTGATTGCGGTAAGGACTCAGTAGAGTAGGCTTCATGGTACGCTGGTGAACCACCAGGCACACCTTCTCTTTATTTTTCATTGTTTTTTAAGGCACTGTTGTATAATGTTTCTGAGGGCTAATTTCAGTTTAAAGTAGTAGTACAGCATTTTGGAAAACATGCTATTTCCCCTTTTTTAGTTAGACGGGAAGAATGATACCACTTTAAATATAAAGCTACAGCCAGGAAACGTTTAGCTCAGCGAAGCTTAGCTAAACGTCATGACTAGGGGGAAACTTATATGCTGGCTCTGCCCAAAGGTAAAAAATTTCTCCACCTCAAAAGCTCACTAGTTAACATATTCTATATCTTTTGTATAATCCACACACTTTGTATAATTAACTGTGTAAAAACAAAAAGTGTTGGGGTTTTTTTGGGGGGGGGGGTTATGACAGACTGTTTCTTGGCCAGGCACAGTGACTTCCTAAACCTGGCTAGCTGAAAGAGGCTAGCTGTTTCCCTTGTCAGAAATACTTTATTGATCCCCGGGGGGCAGTCTTTATGCTAAGCTATTGGTATAAGAGTGGTATCGGTCTTCTCGTGTAACTCTCTGTATTGCCAATATGTCAAGCTATTTCTTTAATGTCATCACACAATAATATTTCAGTCATTTGACTTTTGTGTGGAAAAGGTTGTTTAATACTAAAAACAGTTTAAAAGGAAAAACTTGTTGCCTCAACTTGCAGGTTGATTGAATTTAGCTCCAAGTAATGTCATCATCTGTCATATGTTATTATTTCTGCATGCTTCCAAAGTGCCTGTAAATATTCACTGGACTGGCACAGCACTGACCACAAAAATACACAGAACACAGTTTGTAGACCACAGGCAGGACGTTATTGGTCTTTAATGCATCCGTATTGGCTGACAGGCAGGGGTGAGGTCATCTCAAGCTGGGATGCTTCCAGTTTTCAAGTCTGCAATTAAGAATTTTATAAAAACTGGTTGGTGCTAAAGGGGATGGGGGGTGAATAAAATGCTCCACTGGTTAGGTTACATTGATTTAAACTGAAAACATTGACAGAGTTTGTTTAGTCTTCAAAGCTAATGTTGATTTTAAGCATTCTATATGTAAGATGATATATAGACTCTCATATACTGAAATCATGAGATTATTTTTTTTATTTTTTTATTTAGACTTGTTTTGTATGTTCAAAATAAGAAGAATGTTAAAGTAAATCTGACTCCTCTTGTTCTGGTTTACCATCACTTTGACCTGTGACTAATCTAATTGTACTTCAGGTGAAGTAGAAGGTGTGCAATGAGAAAATCAGTAAACTTTTTTTGATCCACTAAAGAAAAGAAAGACTCAAAGAACATTTTTTTCTGAAAGCTGTACATTTCTTTTCTCATACTGTATACCGATGACACCTTATACTTTGTTAGTTATATACTGAATATACAGTAATTTCTTTGCAGTATTCATCCTCTATTGATCTTATATTTTTGTAGTGTTTTGAGAGCAGTAGGTAGAGATTTTACAATCAGCACAGAGCTCAGGAAGTGTTGTGTTTCATCAGACTGTGTATTTCCAGTGACATTGTCTCTTACAGACAATTGAAATAATAATATTGGTTCCTCCTTCAGGATATCACATCCACATCTTACCAGTTTTATGTGTAAATATTCTAATTCTGCAAGATTTTTGGGATTGATAGCGTCTCAATAAAAAAAAATATATATCATGTTTTGCATTGAAGGTATATGTATATGTCTGTCACTCTTCTGTTTTCTACTTATTTAGGATTGAGTTTCATCACCAACCCTCATTTTTCATTATTTATTATTTCTGTCACCTCCAACACATCAATTCATACTCAAGTTATGTGCTTTGTCAGTGATTAAACTGTAATCTGTAAACTGCAGGTGCCTTTAAAAATAATGGTAATACAAAGCTATGTTTAGAGTCTGGAACAAAAGAAATATCTTTTGCTGCAGTATGCTTCTGAGCTTATTCTCGGCACTAATGGAAATAAAAACGTTCATGCAACAAAACCTGTGTTAAATGTTTTGCTGTTCTATTGTTGTTGACTTCACACTAGCAGAATCGAAAGAACATCATAAAGCTCTTTCAATTCTCTAAACATTTGTTAATTGGCTTTTTGGGCCAATTAAGAAATAATCAAAGATCAGACATGTTTTATCATTTGAAAGTGCTGATAAACAGATCCATGTTTTAGTGTAATTCAATATACTCTTTTGTCGGCAGGGGTGCTGGAGTTCTTCTTCAGAATGGAAAAGCAAATTTCTTTAGTGAGTGCATTACTCCAGTGATGGCCTGCCTTAATGGTCTTCCAGTGACGTTTAAAATTAAATACAACATTTTAGCTATTACTAAAAAACAAGGTGAACTTCTGAATTGTTCTCACCGTACAATAACTCTCTCTCTTAGGTCGGCTAGCTAGAGTCTGGATGTGTCCAGAGCTTGACTTAAAATGAAAGGAGATCAATTGACAATAAAAGAAAATATATTCTCTTGCTTTTCTGAACAGTTTTTGCTCTTTTGTTTTGTCATTTCTATTTTATTTCTGTTTTTTTGCTTTTTTGCCTGATATGTTACACTGAATGCTTTTTTGTGAAACTAGCTTCAATTTTTGTTTTGAAAAGTGCTATGTGAAGAAACCTTTACTAAATATTTTAAACCCAGAAAATGTAAGTATATAAAAGATTGCCTTTCTTTGAAAAATAATAGTGGTAATTTTTACTTTAGTAGTTGCTTTTCATGCAGTTATTAATATTATAGCATGTTTGGAGTTATGCTATATATTTCATTTACTTTCAGAACACTTTATTTTAAGGACAACTTGTGTATTCTGACCAAAGTGTTAGCATGTTATTTTCTATAACAACTGTGTTACCCTTCAGCACAACATAATGACACTATATATGCTGTTTGATTATAATTGGGTATTTTATTGTTACTTTATAATATTTGTAAATATGTATGTACAATACCAAACCAGACTCATGAATATGAAATATCTAGATTGTAAATGTTTTTGCTAGTTTTAATATACCTGGCAAATGTATTAAAAACACACTGGACACAGTTTTTAATAAAATATGATGTAAAAAAATATAAAAGAAAGTGCTACATCTTTCCCAGGGAATCATCTTTCTGTCAACCCTTTTTTTAATAGATGCTATAAGAGCTTTTGACCACAAGGTGGCATTAGGGTGCAACTAGGCCCCTGAAGAAACCAGAACAGTTCTTGCGGCCATGCTTCAGCATTTAACAAAGTTCTCTCCATCCGTCATTCTTTCCAGTGAATGGCCTTTGCTTTCAGTGTTTCTCCCAGCTCTTTACATTTTCCTTCTGTCCTGTCTTCTCCAAGTGTCATATGCCTGCCATCGGTCTGTCTCTGCTCTTCTGCCAGCGCTCATCCTGCAGGTTTCATAAACTGCTTGGCACAGCTGTTCCTCCACATGTCTGCTTATGTCACTGTGCTGTGGATGTCATGTCTCCAATGTGTTTTGAAATTAATATGACATGGATACTGTTTTTCATTGTGCTTAAAAACTATTACTAACACTGACTCTATGTTCATGTTCACAAATGTGACAGAACAGAATGAAAGAAGGCAAATGAAACTCTCACCCACAACAATGCTGACTGTCTCGTTTGCCACTGATGCCTATTGTGCACATCCAATTCTTAATCTAAATATAAACTGAAACTAAAACTAAACAAAACTAAAGTAAAACTAGCAAAAGTCCTTTGAAGGTGAAAATTAAATTTTAGTAGATAAAGCAAATAAAACTGATAATTGTAGTAAGTGTAGTAATTGTACAACGAGCAGTCCTGGTGGCCGTTTATACAGCACAGATGTGATGTGGATTTCACTTCAAATTAGGGCAAACAGTATCTAGGGGATATGGCAAAGCCCAAATGCAACTTTGTTTTCCTTGACTTCACCAGAAACAAAAGATTTGCAGAGAAATTGTACAAGTGTGAAACATCAACAGAGAGTTATTAGCTATTGTGAATGCCTGATCTAAAGATCAAACATGGATCAAAGTATTGTAAATAGCACTTCATTTTGCCATCATTTGTAAGCACTTATTAAGAAGAGTTCTAAACAACTCGGGGAAGCACTTCATGTTCGTTGAAGGGGTGTTTGCGGTTTTGAAAATATTAGCTCTGCTACCAAAACTGCAAACCATATGGAGACACAATATATGTATGTATATGTGTGAAAGAAATAATTTCCTTCTCCTGATACTGAATGGACACCTCCCACCTTCCACTCCACAAGATACACTTGTATATCGGAGTTGGATTTTTCTTTGTAACCACAGGCCTCTCACTGGAGCCATGATTTCTGCTTCAGATTCCTGTTTTGGATCGTAATGTGTTTCTTAATGCAGGACACCTCTTTTTATGTGTTTTGCCTAGTCAGAGAGAATGAGATGCTGATTGGCGGATGTTATCCAACGTTAGTTAGGGACAAACAGACTCCTCCTTTCTCCCAGAAGATGAACAGGAATGAAAACACACAAGGCAAGGAGGAGTAAGCATTTTTGAGATGCCATGAAGATAAATACTTGAACTCTTTAACTGTGAAAATGAAGGCCTAAACAAAGTGTCACATCTGATTTTGCTTTTAAAGTTTGCTGTAGTTTTGTCAGTTATGAAAGATATTATTGTCCAGTTGTGTTAGAGGATTACATATTTCTAGTTGAAGATGCTCTAATAGTTTTTAAATACATTTGGTGTAAAAGTTTGACCTCATCTGTCACAGACATCACTGTACAGAAAATGTTTGAGATAACCCAAGTGACTTTACAAGTAAAGCATGAAGCAGTTAAGTCAGCATTATTTCCAGCCTCGTTTTGGAACATCAGTTTGCTTGTTAACATTCAATATAAGTCTGAGCTGGGTTGTGTTGACATTGGCTTTAGCTCTTATAGGCAGACTCTGAGTCAGCCTCAGAGGAAAAGATCTGCCTGTTTGCTTTGGCCTTCACTGTACCACATTATCTACAGACTCCATCAGCTCTCAACATGCAGTAAGTGGCATGCAAAAGGACAGCCCTCCAAACCTGGATGTGTTTCAGCGTATGCTATTACCACCTTCCACTCACATCTCTCATGTTAGTGCAGAAGTCACGACCTGAAAGTGAAACCCTCTCCCTGACTGGTGCATCACTGCTGTCAAATTTAATCCTCCACGGGGTGAACTTCTTTTTAATTGATGTGGTTCCCTGCAAGTTCCTGTTTATTCTCATTTTGGTAACATAGTTGAAGTAAAGCTGGGCAATTCACAGAGATCGCCTGACAGCCAAACAGTGTGTGCAGAACTGTGATATCTTATTATTTAGGTTTTAGTTGATTTGCTTCTGTGGGTGGCATTCATCTATTTGTTCCAATAAATAAAACTCTGGTGTGTGCCAGAGGATTTTTCCCAGGAAAGCACAAGCAGAGCTTTTATATATTCAGGAACTGGTTACAGGACCTTGACCAGAATTTTAGTGTTGTGTGAATCACTTTTGCTTATTCCATGAATAAACCACTTTGTGTATATTTGAAGCACCCCAACAACAATTTCTTATGTTTATAAAATATGAAAATGTGTGTGTTTGTGATGAAATCGCTCTATACAGTTAGAGCTTACCTGTCATACAGACAAAAGAAATGAAGATCTCAAAAGTTATACGTAGGCCTACCGTTATATTGTTGACTTTGTGGGGAAATGTACTTTTTATATGTCCATCAAAATGTACTTAATGTGTATTTCCTGGAGTCGACGTCTGCACAAATGACAATAAGTCAGAGGAGTAAAATGTTTGCATGCAACAGCAGCAATAGACTGATGTTTTACTGGTAACTAAAACAAGTTACTTGTCAGTAACTTGTTTTAGTTACCAATTCTATGGCACTGAGGAATATGCTATATCAGGCTATGTAGGTGATCACCACTGACAAGGTTAAATAATACTCTATAAATATTTTGTGCATTTACTGTAGTTGGCAAAAGTATCTCTGAGATTCATATCAAACACATATAACACTGTCTGTGGTCACACGCAGCTGTCAGAGAAGTTTGGAGGTGGGTCTCCGGGGCCATATGTTGGGGTCAGGAGAGCAGTGTAATGTGCTGGGGCCAGGGTGAGAGTCAAACACTGTTGCTGCAGTCAGTCCTGGACAAAGAAAGGCCTTTCAGTCAGAAAGACACACACAGACAGCTGGAAGAGGGATAAATGATGATGTTTTTGTTGCTGTGTGAACAACCGGTTGCATACTGTACAGTGTGTGTGTGGGCTTTTCCATTAAAATGTTCATGTTCTCAAGAAAGACGGAAGAAGGATCACCTTTACCTTCTTTGGCATCTTTTGCAAAATCACTTTTTAAGAGTGGTCAATAGAACCAGTAACAGAACAATTAAACAAAATGTTTCACAAACAAAAATGTGTTGAATCATAAATAAAATAAAGATCTATATAAAGCATCACATCCTAGAAACAAATCAAGAAGATTAAAGAGAAACTTAACAGCAGCTGAAAATTTTCCTTTTGCTGACCTCTAGTGCTTTAACTTCTCACCTTTCTGCAATGATGTAAAAATATCATCCAGGGTGTGTCAGTACACTGTGACATCATTGTAAGGTATGCATGTGCCACATCTGACAACAGCCTGCTACAACCGTCTGGGATGCTGTGTGTGGCCACTGATCTACACCACGCCTATCTGACGGATTTCCACATCCCATCTCTTTTTATGTTTTAGAGTAAACGCTTATAAATAATATAGTTGTACTGTGGCTTTTGTGTCTTTCCAATTATTTGCAGCTTGACAGAACATACAAATAATGCAGATAGACAGCAGAGAAGTTATAAATACTGCAGGAGTCTTTCTGCTGAAGTTTTCATTCTTTTTGAATTGCAAAAACTTGTCACCATCAAGATTTATAGGCCATACAGCCACTGCTGCTCTAAATTACTAATGTCTTACAGCCACCTGTCCAGTTTTTGTTGTTATTTTAACGTTAGTGTGAAAGGGAGGATTTGCATTATGTCACTCCCTGAGGCCACCATCTAGTTGCACTTTAGATAGAAGGATTACCTTATCTAGATAATTTTCCCAAATAATGACTTATTCTGTTGAATTGTTGCTTAAACCTGGGACCAAGCAACAATGTTGTTTTCAAACAAGCATGTTCTTTAATAAATGTCTTAGCAATATCAATGATGTCTCATCAGTATTTACAATAGAATTTACAATACAAGTCACTTTCAGTAACCTAATTTTAAAACCTCTCAAAACATCCCATTGATCTTTCGTCTATTAACTGCAGAAATGTTAAATTGTTAAATTTTGTCAAGTATTACGTAACAATGAATGAAAAGATAGAAGAAAGGAGGAAGAGGGAGAAAAACATAGCCTATTTGATAGAGCCAATGAGATCTTTAAAGGTCAGGCCTATACAACGGGCGGCTTGCAGGCCAACTCCGGCATGTCACACACACGCAATCAAGTCACACAGGCTAGCGGATCAGTTCTATTTACAAATAAATCAAATTTAAAATCTGAAGGGAAAACAAATCATGTGAATAACAGACATTTTTGCCACAATAAATCATTCAAACTAGCACAGCACTCCTGTACTGTAACAGCCAATCACACATGAAAGTCCTCCTTTGACTGCTGCTGTTGCTGCCTGCGAAATCCAGCTTCACTCACATGAACACCATAAAAACTAATACTCTTGCCTCCTTGACAAACGATTTACTAATTTAGCTGACGCTTTTATCCAAAGTGACTTACAATTGCTATTTATCACGTTGCGTGCCTCTGGAGCAACTAGGGGTTAAGTGTCTTGCTCAGGGACACATTTCACATGTGTAGCAGTGTGAATTAACCCAGGTCTCCCACACCAAAGGCATGTGTCTTAACCACTGTTCCATCGCCACATATTATAAACCAGCCATCTCTGCCTCTGCAGTGTCTCTTCTTATAGCCTATACGTGTTTATGCTGGGCCTATATGTGTTTTTTGATTCGTGTGAGTTAAAGACAACTGAAGAATACTGAATGAATGTGGTGCAGGTTTACTGATGTTTGTTTAAACTAAGTGAAATAGTTCAGTGAAGATGAAGAAGTAGCCAGAAAACAAGGAAGAAGGAAATGCTATGATGTAGCTCGATGAGAGATGTCAGAATTCACCACATTATATGCCAAATGGCGTTCGTGATGTGTTGGAGACTACATTTGTTTCAAATATGTGTTTACTTTTGAGGCGATATCACAGCGTGTGTTGTAAAGAAAATTACATTAAGCACGTGTCCTAATTACTTAAAGAAGGGATATTTATTTATCTTTTTAAATTTATGATTAGGCAAATTTTTCAATGCAATGAATAAAAGTTTAAAAAAATATGGTGGCTCATTGTATAAAATGTACATACAGAATAACCCAGGCAATTGTCCAGCCCTCTGGCCCTAGATTTCTAAAAATGTGACTCCCTTAACAATATAGTTGAATAGCCCTGCTCTAGGTAATGCTGTGTTATTCTGTACTGTGAAAACCCTCTATACTGTAGTTTGCATGCCTCCTCTTGAACCATTAACTGTGTCTCCGAGCTACATTCCATTCACAGTAGGGTACTTATACCATGTAATGAGATTTAATTAAATCTTTGTAGGAAGGCTCTTACACACTGACCTAACTATCAAGGAAATGATATTTAAACAGGGGTGGAAAAATAAAAGAGGTAGTAGAGTTGGATGAGCTTCCTCAGAAGTGTGCCACTTCACCTTTATACTTCCTTTAAAAGGCATGTGCTAGAAAACATTATACTGATGGGTAATTTTGGATTCATTGTTATTGTTTATTGATACTTTGGGGAAATACATGCATTTTTGCTCTTTTGGTGAGTGTACCAGTTTGCCTCTCAATCCCTTCCCGCAGCCACACATGCTCATTCCCAGCCCTCTACATTAGTCTCTCTATCTGTCCCTGTCTCCAGCCCCTGCTCTCTCAGGCCATGTTCTTTTCTTCCCAGACCTGCCATCCTCTTGCCAGCCGTCAGATGCCCTCTGAATTTACCCCTTTTCCTCATCACCTGACTGCCGCATCCATTCACACACCTTCTCCCACTTCTTATCAGCTCTGCACCTGGCCTCTGCCCACTCTCTCACCTGTTTCCACTTCCCATCATCAGCCCAGCAGATAATTAACTGGACCATTCCCACTCACTCCTTGCCACATTGTTAGTCATGTTATGTTGCTGTGTACTAATGTCTTGGGTCCCTGTTTCTGCCTGCATTACCTGTGTTTTGATCTTTTTGCCTGTTTATTAGACTTTGGATTCCAACCTGCTCCTTACTGGATTTGTAACAAGTGGTAGTTTTAAAGAATGCTGAACTGTTTCTTGGCCTGAGCATCCATTCATTGCACAGCAAGTACATTAAGTCAAAGTTGAACCAGAGGATTTGTCTGTAACTGGTGATGGATGTCTGGGTAATTATTTTTCTACTTGTCTTCATATTCTCCACCAAAAACTTTTTGCTGCTCATGTTTCTTCCCCCAAAATACCTTTTAGCCATGTGGCCCAAATACTTTGGTGAGTACCATAATGTTATTATAATGGTTAGGAACAATGGCCAAAATTAAGATCCAAGTTGTAATAAACTTTATGTTAAAAAAACTTACATAACTACATCACAGTTTCTAAGCCTTATCCCATTAGGACCCAACATTACAGCAAGTGCTTTCTACTGACTGAAAGTTAATTACACACAATTCATTCATCAGCTTGCTACAGACCCCACTCCCCTGAGAGCTGCTTAGATACCAGATTGCCCCTGAAGTCCTCTCGTGACTTATTTGGTTTTGTGGCCAGATCAGCAGAGCAGATGATTCCTTGGGTCCAGTGCTGAATGAGACTTTCAACCTCTCCTCTTCCGTGAGAAATGCACAGTGGTCACCCTACTTTGTTACTCCCTCTGGCTAGAACACTATTGTCATGGAAATCTCTGTTGTGTTTTGCTTGTCTGTGTGAGTGTGCATGTAATACCCTGCAGTGGGGTGGGACAGACTAGCGAGAGTGCCAAGAACAACATAGGGCTAGTCTAATATTGCCCTCCAGCTTCCTTTTATCCCTTCCTCCATTGCACTTCATCTTTCTCCCCTCCTTCACCCACCCTCGAGCCTCACCATCCCCTTGCCAGCCCTAGAGCCCTCAAAAAGCATGGAGAGAGGCCAAGAGTCTTGACTGGGCAGGAAATTATGAGGGTGGACCCCCATGCCTGGTCAGATCTGGTTTGTGTTGTTGCTCCATCCAGCTGATAGGGTGGAGCTCTCCCTCCAGGGTTTATTGTGTCACTACATGAAGCCAGGATTCAAATCAGTCAGAATGCACACATGCATGAAAAATGCAAAACAGGTTTTGGTGTCTTTTCCTCATTGGAGAGAATGACAAATACTCCACGCAGTGATGATGTTATGCATGTTGGCTGGCAGTTGTTTTTACAGTTTTCCTAGGTTTCATTCCTTGTTATTCGTAGGCGGGTTTGTGTTTAAGGTGAAAAGTTGTGCAAGTTCTCCCTGTTGATTTTGGAGAATGAAGGCACCAAACGGTAACATGACCAGAGGAAGTGTGGTCCTGAGGTGGTCCTGAATGTGTATGGGCAGGGTGAGGTGGTAGTCAGAGCAAGGCGGGCCAGTGTTCAACACACACAGAGACATGGTATGCAGGACCTGACTGGGAAGTTATTTTAAGGAAGAGACCTTCTGGAAATTCAATCACAGCTGTCTGCCTTCACTGCTTTTCATCACCGATGTTCACACCACCACATAACAATTTGAAGTCCTATAGTGGATGGAAAACAACTGTGTTCCTCAAAAATGTTTATTTGAACCTTAAATTGGGTACAGCATGTTGATTTACCAAACAGAATCCACTTTAAATTCACAACAATTACTGAATATACAACTACTAATGTACTTCAAAGGAACGCTGGACTAATTTTATATGTCAAAGTAAGTTTAATAGTCACAGGAAGTATTACCCAGCCTGTGAAAATAGTTGTATAATGTCTTTCTGTGGCTCTGGAGGAGCTTTGTCAAATGTGAGAAAATTACTCAAAAGATGGCTGGAGTAATTTTTGTTTCTGGCCACCCAACAAAAGAAAGGCCATTACTCTTCTTCTTGTTCTGTTTTGGTCTCCACCAACTTCTTAAGGAAATACCTGGCTTTACAGCTGCTGAATGCTTGACAATGTGCAACAGCTAGTTACTAGCTTTGTCTGCTACTTGGTGCTGAAGAGGTACAATAGCGTACAGTGAGTTTATCAAAGCTTTTTTACTGAATACAGGTGTTGTGCTGGAAAGGAGGTTGATGAGAGCAGTAAGAATGAACCAAAACACGTTTCCCCAGGTCATCAAATACCGATGTTTTGTTATGCCCATCTGCATTGCACCAAGCTCCTGGAATAAAGCCTTAAGGAAGTCAGGTGACACCGTATAAAGAGCAGAGCAAGGAAGTCCACATATGGAGGTGGATGGATGGGTCAAACAAACACAGGACTTTGATGATTGATCCTTTATTAACATATAAACACCATTTTTTTTCATTCATGTTGCATATCTATCTTTCTGTGAATGAATGTCTTGATATCTTTACTAAGTACAAAGTGTTTTTACTTTCCATATTAAGATGAATGAAATAACAAGGGAAAGATGTTATATAAGAAAAAGGTCACATCTGCCGGTAAAACAGCTGTTAAAGAAAGTTAAAGTGATGAAAACATTTTAATTGCCTAAACTGAAATATGTAAAAGGATGGGTGGGTGACATAAGAACAAATACATTAGCTTTTGTTATCTCTGGAATGTAATCAGCAACTTTTTTTCCACATTAGTACTTCCAAGGAAACGTCTGGTCTTCCAATATTTGCAAGAATATTTATTGGCACTTCTACAGTAAAAGCTCTCAGGAAGTTACAAAAACCAGGAATATGACTTGTTTACAAAGTGGGTGGATGTTTTCACTCCTGTCATGGAAGATTCAGTGGGATCTGTCTAATTGCTGGTCATATCTTTTCACAGTTAAATCTCCAACCATCCAGGAATGCTTAAAACCACAATCAGAGGGAGTGAAGAAAAGAGTCATGAGCTGCAGACTAGAAGGGAAAAATGTTGGCATCTCTCCAAAGCCGAACAACCAGTGGAGAAGGTTTGAATTTTTTTTTTCTTATATCTTTTTCCCCTTGCTCTGTGTTTGGGCTCTGACATTTGCACAGGGCGTGATGTGAACAGATTACCACGTTAACCCGTACACTCCCGCATTGTATATCACACTCTTAGTTGTGCACTGTTTGATAATGCTATCTGGGAACTGTATTTTCCTACTTTAAATTTCACCTTTGAAGGGTTATTAGCTAATTTATTAAACTTGCGGCTTCACTGAAATGACAAAGAGATATTACAGATCTTTGCTGGGCTGATGGGCAACTTCCTGTGTCATTTATATGGTTTGGTTTTGTGTCTGTCAAAATCAGTGTCTTTTTCCATCTTTTAAGAAGATGACATCAAAGACGGCATTGCCTGAAAATCAACAATTAGCCCTCAGATGAACAGTCAGGGCTTGTTTTCCTTTCATCATCAATAATGATGCAAATGGGAGCAGCATCTCATGAAATGTTCATGCCAAAGTCTTTCTGTTCTTATTCTCATACTTTGTGTTTAGTGATGGATGTTTTATCTATGAGGTGATTAGCAGAATTTGCTACAAGCATTACCATTTTATAACTAAGTCACACTCTTTCCAAATCACTGTGGGCAAATAAAGTAAAACACAAAACGTAAACTAAGCAAGAGTGATGTGGTACTGTATGAAATCATTGAAATATGAAGCAAAGAGTGGTGAATCACTGTGCATGGATGTCTGTGTTTTTGGAATTAAACCCTTTAATCACGCTTGGCCGTATACTTTCTGCAGTCTGATGTTAGTTTTCCAATGTTGACGTTTGCTCTGTCCATTTCACAGACAGATTAGGTCGTCCCAGGGGAGATGCGGGTGGGGGCAGTTTGGTATGTGACAGTCTGACAGAGGCTGTCATAATTATCATGTCATTCCTGTGTCTGTTCAATACATACATTTCTCCTCTCCTCTTAAATTGAAGGGAAAGGTAAGACTTTTTTATTGGCCTGTGCAACCATAACATATCTGCAGGGGTTTATTGATCAATGTCACTGACCTGATGGTTTTTTTGTGGCCACTTGCTTAGATTTTTGGATTTGGATTTGGCCTGTGTGCTGTTCAAAAGCAAAATTACCTGCTTATAGTACTTGTCCCAAATCACTACTCATTCACTACTCCTTACCCCCTATATAGTAAGTAGTGGGTGATTTCGGATACAGCCAATGTTATAAATTAAAGCGCAGCCACTTACTGTTTAACTTTCTGCTGATGCCAGTTTCTTAAATGCTACTTTAATCTGAACTGTTTGTGCAATCAGTTTTATTTGCCACAAATAGCCAGTGTGCCAAGTGTGGCTAACTGGCAACACATGTATGGACTGTGCATGTGGATTCTGCCTGTATGAGTTTGAGACAGCTACAACTCTGACTCCCTTTGTATTTCCCTTCCCATTCATGTCTCTACGTTCAGTAGGTGGAGTCATTGAGCCCTAGTATTAGCACAAATGTTTCTCTAAAGTTGAAAATTTGTCAACTTGCCTCAGTTCTGCACTGCTTTGTGCCAATTTGTATCTGTTCACATCCACTCAACTCTTTCCCCTGACTTTATATGTAGTCATGCTGCGTGAAAATTCACTTTTCTTTCAGTCTCAACACAGCTTGCATGAGGTTGTGGCTCACTTTCCATTTAGCTTGTGTAGTAGTACCAAACACAAGGAGATGGTTCAAAAACTAAAACACCAAGATATACTGTGCCTTTTAACTCAACTGCCACTGTACCATAAACAGTTGTGGCTAATCGCTCGTCAATAGCAACAGGGACTTCCAATTATTTTCCCAAAGCTCAGAGGTAATGGGTAAAATGTCACAACCAATACCTAACTACCTAAGAAAGGTTAACAAATACAGGAATTTAAGTTACTTCTGTTGAGATAATATGATTGTATTGTTTTTACAAGGCTATGTGACACTGAAGGGGTTGAGGGTTTAGAGTCTTGCTTTGTCAGAAACTAAGGGGATACAGATATGTGTTAAAGGTTGTCTAAACAGTCAAGCACAGTCATTTTAATGAAACTCACCTGACAGTTTCCAATAAAATGTTGGAAACACCAGGAGAGAGAACAAATGTCACTCATTAGTCTAAGAGAGAAAAAGAGATGACAGAGAAGGGGCTTTTGGATCGACAGTGGGATAATAGTTTTTTGTGGCTTTTGTTTCCTAAAGCAGGAATGTTGTTTACAGGGATTGGACAGAGTCTCAGGAATGCAGACTGTGCTCTGAGGAAATGGCTGTTGTCTCCAGAGGGAACTTCTACAGTCTGGCTGCAGACCCATGAGGAAAGGAGTTGACAGGTACATATTTTATGTGTAGCACAAGGAGCATATTGAACTATTCCTTTCACACTAACAGATAATGTGATGACATAACATACCTGTTCATAGCTTCTGTAAATATCCTCTGAGAATCATTTGAGCCCAGCCTGATACACACCACATTAGCAAACCATGGAGACTGGTTAAATAATAACATGACTTGTTTTCTCTTTGAAACTGCAAACATCAGTAACAACTTTTAAAGCTAGGCTTTAAACATTTAAAATGAGCATGGGTCTACAACTTTATGGCCTAAATATTGCCTCAGGTTTATTATATTATTGTTTTTACAGCTTGAAATTTGGAATCAGTGCCAAATGACAGCCCTGCAATAGGTGAGATGATCCAATTCAGTGAAGGAAGGGTTTACATTTATTTTTAAGTGAAGACTGTCAATCAAGTGTTGTTCAGCCTACATGAAGTTACATCCATCTCAGTCAGAATCCTCTGTGGTGACTTGTGGGATATTCATTTCAAGAGTGCTAAACCTCCTGTTGGATCATTTCAAAGCAATCCAAAGATAGCATTGCTGGTTAACCAGTGCACTCATGCATAATAGGTTGTTATAAAATAACTGTAAATTAGTTAATGAGCAGTTAATGACTTTGGGCACTATGAAGATGCCTCTGTTTTACTGATCTGAATTCTCTGTAAATCAGTAGGTATAGAGAAGTACTAAAACAGCCCCAACTCCAAACTGTTTATGGCTTGGTGCCTTTTATTGAGGTCAATTGCAAACAGGATGCTTTAATTTCTTCCACATTTAATGTTTAAGTGCTTTTATTGAGCTTTTTGCATCTCAGTTGTCAGTGAAATATTCTTAGCAATCTTGAAACAATCTTTTTTATATTGTTGACTTTTACATCTTGACTTTATTTGGTAAACTGCACCAAAGCATATTTATTAGACACGTATTACTACAACACTACAAGTTAAAAGATATTTTTAAGAAGCAGGATATCATAAGACTTGTTTTTGTTCTTCACAACACATTTACCTGTTTTTTTCCCCCCATAATTTCTTTCATTTGATCAACCAGGGTCACAGGTGTATCATCAGGGCACTATAGTATTTCATGACATTTTACCGCCATCTTTCAAGCCTACAAGATGTGGTTCTGAATGTGATGTGATTTGAAACATGAACTTTGGATGGAGTATCACTTTAAACTCAGGTTGGCAGTAGTACTGGATCCTGCAACACTTCATCACTTCAACAGCTCATTAGATGAGCAATCTGGCAGCTGTTCAAAAGCCTTCAGGTTGCAAAATGTGATCTGAAATTTCCACTTTGCAAGTTAAAGTCTTTTCTGTTTCTAGCTGTAAGAAAACTGTTAGAACCACTTCTTAGTTTCTTAATTTGCTGAAACCCTTTACTACGTGAACCAACATTGCTTTACTTCGATGTTCTATACACTTATATCAAATGTAGCCCTCTCTGGATGAATGTGGGTCAGTAGAAAACAACAGAAAATACCTGAAATCTCTAAAATTATGGTACATGGCTGTAGTTGAGACCACTTAAATCAAGTTCAAGACAAATCTAAGTCTGTGCAGTTTCAAGATGAGTCCAAATTGGGCTCAAGACCGAGTCAGCAACAAGACCAAAGTGACAAAAAATGTGCTAATTCAATAGTCTTACTGTTGTCTTTCAGTTCTAAGTCAACTGTGATATAGTTTCTTTCACTCAGTACAGTCATTTGGATTTTCTGAGAAACAAATATTCTTGTAAAAGGTTACAAGCTATGGAAGTGTGAATCGTATCTATCTCTTTCCACATGTACATTTGTGAACAAAACTATGACTTTCAGTCAGAAAAGGGATAGGTTGTCAAATGACACACTATGGAAAATTCATTCAGATTGGACATACAAATGTCCAATGTAATAGGAATGTAGTTATATAACAAAGGTGAAGGTTTTAAGATACAACAGTGTTCAGATTAGAACTACCACCACTGCAGTTTCTCTGTGATGACTCAGCAGTGCTGAGACTGTACTTTTGTCTTACTCAATTAAAGACAGTGGTCCGGATGTAACAACAGCATTTTGTGTCCTGGCAGAATTGTTTACAGGCCTTGGATTTGTCTTCACTGTCTCTTTATTTTCCCAGCAGTCCCTGCCATTTCCACAGCTACCTCGTGTCTTACTCACTTGCTATCAAAAGATCTTTGGATTTCACAATCTCTTCTGCAGTCTGCAGAAAAACAAAATTTTCAGCAGAGAAACTATTCACACACAACACAGGGCCTGTGGCAAGAAAAAGATTTCATCATTTTAAAGCAAAACACACTGGCAAACACACACGTATACATTCACAGACATCTGTATAAGTACCAGGAATAATGTATCACATGTTTTCCTCCCAGGTACAAATTGTGTAAGAGCAAATCAAAAGGACAGAGATCACTGTGTGTATAAAGTATGTTCTCAGCACTCAAAATGCACTCTAATGAATCGGCACTGTGGCACAAGCGGTAACGGGTATTTACTACCGTCTATAGCTAAAAACCTGTCGGAGGAGTTTGTCACCTGATGTGACATTTACAAACATCCTGTCACCTATGGACACCACTGATGTCATCCAGCAGTGACAGCTATGTTGAGGCTTTTGTGGTCTGATTAACTTGTCGGAGGACATAGTTGAAAAAAACTCTACCAGAAAAACATTTTGTTGGGACTTTCCGGAAGAATGTGGAAGCATTTTGGGCCCAACCCACTGGAATGTCCTCTCTTGTAGCCAGGCAAAGTGTTTGAGACTAGCCTGGCTTTGAAATTGGTAGGGTGTTTTTCACATCTGTACTGGTAATAGGAACCTAAGTTAGATACTTTTATTCAAAGTGCCCTTCAGGACCATTAGATCAAACATGCATTGTAAGAGTGGAGCCAATGGATATGTGACCTTTACCCTCAGAGTGTTAGCACCTTTGATCTACACAGATCAGATAGATACTGAGTGGTTGTTTATGTGAGTTTTTATTATACAAAGCCAGTTCAGTGCAGCTAAATGGCACAAACACTGCAAAGGTAAAACATCCCAATTCCAATGCCTTTACCAAGCCATTTATTATCCAAATATGTTTTCACTTGAACTGCTGGACAGGCAACATGTGACATATGTTGTAGGTGGCATAACTACGACTTGAATATGGAATTCCTACTGAGTTGAAGAAAGCCCCTCAGCCACCTGATATACACTGTATGATGGGTAAGGACAAAAAGATACATCTGGAACCAGTTAGTCTGAAGTCTGGGTCACCCCTCCCCCTTATCAATGTGGAGCAGAGGGCTATAAGACAGAGAGACCGACAGACACAAAACTAGATACAAAGAGTGATGTCTGTGAAGATTCTCAATCCTCCAGGTCACTGTTAACTAAGGAGGGTTAAATCAGTTCAGAAGTGAAGAAGCCTCTTCAATCAAGTCCAGTTGCCCTCAGTTTAACCCTCCTTGGAAAAAGACAGCGATATAATTAAACTGTGGTCATGCACATTACTCCACTAAGAAGTATATCAATGGTAACGATGGTAATAAATCAATATTTATAAAGTTTTCTCAAGCTCCATTAATAGATAGCCAATGCTTTCCCTTTTAGCTAGCAAGCAGTTTGTAAGAACAGGTGTCATTTTAATCAATGCTTGCCACGTATGCCATGACTTTGATTTCCTCTTGTGTCACCATGAGGTTGACATTTATGGTTTTGAGTGAAATGTCTCCACAACTATGGGTTGACATAAAGCTCAGTACAAACATTTATGTCCCCCGAATTGTAATAATTTTGGTGATCCTCTAACTTTTCATCTAACGCCATCATCGGGTCAAGATTTTAGAGCCTCACTTTTGTGTTTAGTGTTACTTAGCAAATGTTCGTGTGCTAACTAAGATTGTGAACATTATTCCTGCTAAAATCTGGATGTCAGTATTGTCATTGTTTCTATGTTGCTGACGTTAGCCTTTAGCTCAAAGCACAGCTGTGCTGAAGTATAGCCTGGCAAAGTCTTGTTCCATGTTTTTAACTGTTTCCATTAATTCTTTCCATTTATCTAACTGGAACTGGGTTTCTTAATTCTTGTGAAAAAATATTTCCAAATGTTTTAAAAACACACACTCAGCTCTACAGAGGCCGTGATTCCATCAGCTGAAAATCCCTTCTGCTTCTGTATACTTGTTGCGGTCATCTATAAATTAAACTATTAACTGACATGTCAAACACTGACTGAATTTAGGCTACACAAGTTCTCCTGACTATATCTGTGTACCATGTATTGCTTATTTTCTAAGGGCTTTGATTCAGGTTTGAAGAATGAATGTTCAAGTTAAGACAAAACATGACTCATTGTTTGCTGAGAGACTCGGTTCGCCCCGCACACATGTGTCAGTTTACAACAGTTTATAAATAAATGTTCGTTTAAAATTTGCTTCACAAAGTGACTGTTTAGCATTTTACAGGAGTTTCTTATTTCAAACACGCTGAAATCCACAGTAGCCTTATATATTTTTGATGAGTCACAGTATGATTAAAGGAAAAGGGAGAAAAGGAAGCTTTTCTGTTGCATTTATATGACTTTTTATCTCTTTTTTGATAAAATAACTCATCTCCACAATAAAAGGCCACAGTTAAGGGACAGTAGATATTGCTTCATCTTACGGGTCAATCACTAAATAAGTTGGGAACCACTGCAATAAGGAGGTATCTGCCTAAAACTGAGTGAGAAAAACATTTATCATGACCTCTCTGCAAAGACTTTACCATGATTGCTCATATCAGTAATTCAGCGAAGGGATGATAATCACCTCCAGAAACTTGCAGTGCCAGGATTCCTCTACCAAACTAACTCAGTGGAGCCACTAATGTGGATGTTGGCTTTTGGCCCTTTTGTGACGTTGCAGCAAGCAGCAGGAGGAGGAGGGATTACCAAACCCACCATGTGTGTTGATTTGACCATCTGTTGCCTTTGTTTCCTTCAGATGCTTGGGGAGGAGGACGCTGTAATCCTTTACACTGTGGAGGTCAAGTCCATGTCACTCCAGTCTGTCAAAGACTGGGACAACAATCCTGTCTAGCCATCCACAACAGTGATAGCAATGACAAATTCAAGTATCCCTTTTATTGCTATATGTACAGACCACATACTTCAGGGACGCTTACTTAAATGACTGTGAAACTTGGAATTTTGACATGTTTGAATAAGTCATGTGTGATTCATGTCTGCAGTCAAACCGTTGATGCAGACAGCTGTAATGCTGCTGGGATCTAAACACATTTACTGCTGTGCAAGGGAAACAAATGAGGACTCTGGGTACGTTGTGTCCTGTCGATGGGCTGGAGGTGCAGTTTTCCTTCCCTGACTATGCAGACATGAAGCTGCTCCTTTCCTTCACTCAGCATCTTGTATTTTCTTTTTTTCTTTTATAGACATCTGCAGGCACTTTGGGCCATAACGCTTTTACCATGTGCCTTTACAGCAGCACTGCAGACCTGAAAGAAATCCACACTTTCCCCTTAAGACAAGCCAAGTGAGTTACTTTGGAAGTTTAGGGCATGAAAAGAAGTTAAGAATTTGCTAAGTAATGTTAATGTGGCTTGCAAAATGACACCCAAGCGTGACCAGACAAGTAGCAACAGGTACAGGCAACAGTTTGATAACTGAAATAATAATCTGCTTCCAGATATTTTGAGTTTTTTATGATACAACTTCCATTTTTGCACCATGCTGGAGCCGTTTCAATAACTGTTCCCTTCTTCTGGAAAAGAGGTAGTTAGCTCAACCAGGCTTCAGCTGTGTCTGATGGAAAAAGCCTAAAAGAAGGCAAAGTTAACCAGTTTTCATCACCCCCACTTCCTCACTCACACAAATGGGTTGCTGCGGAGAATTGCACTGTTAGCATTACTTTGGCAATACCTCAAGGTTTAGGAAGTTTTTCCAAGGTGTCATTTTACTGCCATTGAGGCCTTTCTGCTTCACTAATACTCTGTGGTGCACATCATAGAAGTGTGTGGCAGACAAAATTAATTAGACTGAAAATACCTCCTAAATTTGCTTCTACTCCTCTAATTGGTGAGGAGATTTATGCTTAAAATTTCGGTTTTCATTCCTCTGTCAGCCTTGGGTTTCTAAGTAAACTTGATGATGTCTCCTCCTGGCACATAGCAGGAAGGTGACATCACCCCGGCGCTCCAGTTGCATACCAAAACAGCCTAAAACATTACCATCAGAAACAGGCATTGAGTTCAAATTGAAACATCTAGATTTTCTTTTGAAGTAAAAAAAAGTTTGCAAGTAATCAAGGGCTTCTGTAACATACACTGATACTTTGTTCTTGACAAAAAGTGGAGCAAGTATGGTCCAGACCTTCTCAATATGAAAAGTGCAATGAGACTTCAGATGCTTGGGGAGGAGGACGCTGTAATCCTTTACACTGTGGAGGTCAAGTCCATGTCACTCCAGTCTGTCAAAGACTGGGACAACAATCCTGTCTAGCCATCCACAACAGTGATAGCAATGAATAAAAATAAAATAAAATTGAACTGAATTGAATCGTTTGGCATCACTCTATGTCAACACAAACTGTTACTGAAAAGGTACAAAATTGTATTGTTAAGACACCTGGGTGAAAACAGAAGAGGATGCTCAATATGCCTAAACCTTTTCACTTTAACAACAGAGCTGTTGATTTGAGTCATCAAAATGAAATGTTTGCTTCTGAAACATCTGTAACACATTTAAAAGAAATGCCTGTGTTTCACTTTAACATAGTGTACTGGTTTGACATCTGTCGGCTGTCTCCAAGAATTAACCCAGCAGGAGAGCCCCACTCATATCAGGAAACTTTTAATAAAATGTTCTTAGACTAAAAGTTAATATAAGAATGCTGTAAACTTCAAAATAAGCTCTAAGGGTATTCCACCAGATCCACACAGCTTAAGAAATGTTCAGTTTATATAACTATACTGAAATAAGAACAAATATAAAATTAAAGCTGCAAGAAGCGGTGGGCGTGTCCTCGCATGTGT